AATCCTTACAAGACTAGAAAGGTGCAATAGAAATGCAGTCCATTTACCATTGACCAAAGTGTTGTCAGAATTAAAATTTCAGCCAGACAATGGCGCAAGACCAAAAGTTACAGATCATCAAAGTTATCAAAATTCATCATTAAGGGAACACAGATGTCTGTACTAAAATAAGAGTGAATCCATCTCAAAGTTTCCACAACTTTTACACGAAACCTCATTCTCATTCATCAGAGGGCCATTAGGGCTAATCCTCTGGGATACATTTCAAGGCAATCTACAGTTATTGAAATATTTTAGTCAGATGTAAAAAAGTGGTGTTCTAACATTACAATCTCTAGAGCTATGCAGCTTACGTGGCTAAAGAACAAAAGGTCCAAATAATTGGTGGAGGTAGAATTTGAGATGTTGGTGTGAGAGACAAATAGAACTGCATGGTCGACTTGGTCTCAAGTATCTACAGTGATAATTTACTGCGCTCCCCATCTACAGTGTAGGTGTAGCTGAGACACGTACTGAGACAGAGTGAGTGAGCATGAACCTATCCAGCTGGTGTGAGTGACTGAAGGAGCAGCTGGATAGTCTGAGAGTGAACTCAAAGTTTACATATGGCAAAACCATCAAACGCAACTTCCATCAGCGGCTTTGTAGGGGCCGTCATGAAGTAGGCTTGCATAATACCGAGAAAATCAGTGAGACACTGAAAACACATTGTTGTTTTCGAAACAGTATGTTCCCCCACTGACCTAAGGCTATTCTGAGAAGCTCTTTGTGCACCTATCATCAATCTTCTAGCGTGATAGCAATGTTTTTCCAAGAATTCAGGTTTATGTTACAATGTCCACATAGATTTAAAATGAACACAAGAAACATCTGCCCTAATAACAAGGATACAGGCTCAGTGACACACACACACATTTCGACCTCATCCCAATGCTTTTGGCCTACTGGTACTTACTCTACTACTATCTAACCTACTCACTACTCAACAGCATTGCCAGCTTCAACATACCAATGCTCGTACATTTTAGCTGAAGGTATTGACAATGCTGATGCTATCTAACCTACCACAAGGCCCCTAATGGTCGCCACAACAAAACCGTGAACATAGATGGGCAGCAAGAGCCAACACACGCTCTGGTGTCCACCCTCCTCCTTGCTAGCTCTCACAGCCCATAATAACTATACCCGCATCACTTCTTTGTGCTACTTCATCCTTGTGAAAAATCCCAAACAAGCTATCAAACTATTCCTGCTGCCAAAATTACAGAAAAGGTAATAACAGAGAGAAGAGTCTGAGACAGATGTGAGAAAGAGGACGGGGAAGGCAGAGCCAGGGTGAGAGGCTTGTTTAGGCTGGAGCTCACCCCCGCTGGGTTAGGCTGTATAATAATAACATTAATTAGTGATCTTACACAGGGATGTGACGTATTCTGTCAGGTCAGTAGAATTGAAACACAAATTTCATGTTCTTTATGTTTCCCACAATCTTCGGAAGTAAGACACAATCTCTTTTTTTATGTTTTCAACACAACTCAAACTTATAGTTCAAACAAATAATGACTTTATGCATACATTTGCTTTGAAAACCTCATAGCAAAAGACTCAATTACAATCTATAATTTGATGAGCAGTGTCTCATTTCTGAAAGAATTCTATTCCATCTCGCTCAGAATAATCTTTTGATTAATTTTGTATCTCTAACATTTGATGTTTAAATTGCACTCATGGCCTCCATACTGATTTAAATGATTCCAGGAAACTCAAAAAATAGATCCACCATGACACACCAATTTGGCTCTAGAGTTTGCAGTCTAAATAAGCTTCAGGATGTGGGTCTGTTTAATAAACCTCTGCTTTGAGTTCAGACTCACAGTCTGTCTAATTCCCAAAATTCAGGCAATTTAATGCTATAATTTGAGGTTTGGAGTTCGTCCCCTTTATAAGACAGAGTAGAGGTATTTGATAAATGCTGCAGATTTAATGAGGTGTTGGATGAGACCCCTCTGACTTGCTGACTGGCTGCTGTTACATAACTTCATCAGGTAAGACAGTGCATAGCTTGTAGGACTTTGCATCCCACGGTGTAATGAGCACTTCAGCACACAGCGCAGGAGTGAGGAGACTTATGGTCACCACCGGCTGTGGTTTACCATGTTGTAAAAGTCTGTGTTCATTCCTCCAAAAACAAGGAGACTGAAGCAAGTTGCTATGAAAGAAGTTTTTGTGAAGAGGAACTTTTATGTGGTGAATGTTATTGTTGTCTGTGATAATGTAATTCATTAGTCATAAAAACGGTTTCCTCATACAGTCAATATAAATATTTTTCGATAGCACCAGAAAATGTCCCACTGAAGAGATAAATTATACTCATGTGTGCCCCATAAGTACAGAAGATGAAAAGAGCCGTGCATGAATATTAAAACGTGTTTTTTCCTCAAGATCACAAATTCATTTTTATGCTATTTCAAAAGAATTGCACAATGATTCCCTGAATTAACTATGCCTGGTATGACTAGAAAACTAAAGGTTGTTACCTGTGTTTATTGGAACTCAGGATTGCCACATCTGCAAGAAAAGATGGCATATATACTGTATATATGTGCCTATGATATATTCCTTTGTGCATTTTTTTATATTTCATATATTTGGAAGCCCAATTACCTTGAGATCACAGGTAATATTTTGAGTTATCAAGCAAAAACAATAATTGATATCTCAAAGTAAGTATAATGACAAAAAAAAAAGTCCTCTTAAGTTGGGGAGAAATAGATTCACTAAATTATTGGCCAATTAAAAATTTGTTTTCTCGCCCTGTGCAATAATTGTGATGTAATATCTGTAAAAAGAAATTGCTGGTGTGAGCCGAGAGCAGCTGAAAACAAGGGAGCAGACAATGCATGCCTTCATTTCGCACAAGACTCAAGTCTTCAGGGTATTAATAAAGCTATAACTCTGTCTCACCTCTGTGAGCATGTCAGATAGCTAAATAATTAGCCTATGAGCTTAAATAATGAACATTCTGTTTTTTTTATGGAAAGACTTCAAAAAATCAGCCACAACCCACAAAAAGTGGATAACATATTTTGGGTCTAGTGAACCACAGGTATTTGTTTCAGGTGAGCCTGGATTCATGTTTGCACGCTAAGCGTTAGCACACCTAGACCGCTAAGCGTTAGCCCACTAGGCTTTAGCCTGCTAAGGGTTAGCCCGCTGCTCAAGGTAACAATTTGTTTACTAGGTGTGCACGGGACTTGACGCCCTGTAACCTGGTAACCACCCTGGATGGATCATAGAAAACCAGACGATGAAAAGGCAGAAACTGACAGACATGTGCCATGCGTTGCTTTATGAAATATTGCTAATGATATTCCACTCTCTCCTTCGCTCCTTGTTTTTGCTTGGAAAAGAAAAGAAAATCCCAATAATCAATAACATCAGTCAAAATATTTGTTGCTAAAATATCTGTACTGCTTGGATTACAGTTAAACATCTTTTGATTTGCTGTTTATGTACCACATGTTTCTTGTCATTTACCTTTAATCAGTTTGCGTTGTTTCCTTTTTGGTTCAGTGGCTTTAAAAAGAGGCTAATTGTCAGACCTCCCTGATGAGAACATAAAGCCCTTTTTGTAATGCTTTATTGCATGAAACCACAGCTTCAGGTCATTGGTAACAGGACATTTTTGTTCTATTTGTGGTTACAGCTATGCTATAATCATTTGTGTCTGCTGGCAACGAGACATGTGGCGAGAAGCAGAGTTACGAGTGTGAATATCAGAGTCTCTGGATACTGTCTTATTGGTATCACGATCAAAAATAGTCAGGGGATGGTGTCAGACACATTAGGGGTTTGGTTTTTATCTCCAAGCCAGAGGCAGCCATCACTGTCTGACCTCATCAACCGCACCATGATGTGACTCAAGCCCAGACCCTGCAGCAGACTTTATGTGGTCTGTTGAGCTCTGTACCACAGCTGCAAACCATGAATGGAGGTCTGTGGAGGTTTTTTGTGATCCAGAACCCACACGCCTGTAAAGACTCATTCTGAAAAACCAATCAGAGGGAAGATAAAACTCTGGGTGTCCTGTTGGAGCCCTGATCACTACACAACAACAGACTAGAGCAGGGTTATAGAGGCTAACCACAACGAAGCACCTGAGGTAGAAGTATGGAAACTGTGACTCATTTGCCTCGTCTTGTTGCCATAGATGCATGTTTATCCTCTTAAGTAAGACCATCAACTTGGAGCTACTGAGACTCTTCTTTCAATGAACTAACCAAGGATTCAAATGTCTTTATTGCAGAATAAATATTTTTTCTTTCAATGACGGTCATTCACTCATGGAATAAGGCTCAGTTGGCTTCAATAATGAGGCACAAGAGGCAGAGAAAAAGGGAAAAACAAACATCATTAAGACCTGAGCCTTCCGTCTCATCTCACCAAATGTGCCGAGTCGCTTGGTGCCAGACATGCTGACGACCTGAAGGCCGTTTGAGCTGGCAGCCTGTCTGAAGCTCTACTTGACGGTAAACGCGGCTTGTTAAGTCGAAAGCTCCGGAGCACTCATTTCCTGAATTTGACCGGAGGATGGGAGGGGGGGGGGAGTAAGGGCATTAGAAAAGGTGTCACATATTATCCCTGGAAGGAAAGTGAAAAAAACACCTTGTGTTTCAGAGAAAGTGTGGAAAAAAATACTCCCAAGTGTGCTTGCAGGAGGCCGGAAACACTTTTTTCTTTCTTCAGAAATTCAAGTCAAGCATGAACGCATGAGTCAAAAATACTCAGGGTTTCAGCTGAGTTGAAACATGATTTTAAACATGGTTCAGAAGCTGCTTGTGTACTGTTAATTTGTGTTGGAGCTTGTGGGAATTGGTAGCAGCATGAAAGAGCCAATGCAAAGAGTTCTCCCAGGTCACTCCTTCTCTGCATGGGGCCGTCTGAGGAAGGTTTTAAAAGCAGGTTCTGGCCCTCATGCTCCTCCCTTAGAAAGACTCCTGCAATCCTCACATTCACACACCATTTCACACACACACACACACACACACACACTTAGACACACATAAACTGACAGCAGCTTCCCTTAGGCTTACCATGACAGTCTTTTCTCACTTCTGATTCAAAAAGAAAGGCAGGAAAAAGAACGCACCACTCACAGCAGGGGCTGACATACGGGAAACTGCCATTGTGTCACCGACTAACAAGTCACTACGGTGAAAGTGCTGATCTGGGAGCAGTTGGAAGGACAAAATGGGTCTTTGGACAGCCCTGATTCTGGCCTGGCAGCTGCTATCAAAACTTTGCTTACACGTGGAAGCCCAGGCATTGGGTAAGTGTTACTTTGAGTGTTTTAATTACCGGTAGCTTTTAATATTAATTATTTAAGTTATGGAAAATTAAAAAAAACTGCGTCACATTGAAGATGCAACAGCTGTGTTTGTACAAAAATTCGAGGTGAAATTTTAAGGCACACAGAAAGAACGATGTCTTTGATTTTATTCGAATGGTGTATTTTTCTGACTTTCTGGCTGTGATGTAATCCTCGGTTTTTATTATGTGTCAAAAAAGATTTAATGGCTCCACCACCGGGTATTTCAACACACCATGTATGAGTTCAATGCATAATGGATAAAGCAGAGACCGTGAAAGAGAATATCATATGCGGACCCAAAGAACACAGAGGATTAGACATGGTGTGTGATATTCACTGAGGTACGAGTAAAATGCTAAATATCCCCGCCAGTTGTAGAAGAGATGAGGCAGTTAAACCCAAGAAGACAAAGACAATTAATAAAGTAGACAAGAGCTTAAACCCACAATCTTTCGGCTGAAGTAAAGTCACCCTGCTTTTCATACCTCTCCAGCCATATCTGCTTGATTACTCCAGCTCAGAGGGTTCAACTTTCTGGCTCAAAATGAATTTAAACAAAGTCTCAGCTGGGTCACACACATGGGAATAATCAGAGATGATCTGGGCCCAAGATTGAACTTCAAGTTACACATACTCTCTTCCTTCTCTCTCTCTGACAGTCACACATAAACTTGTTCAAGGTCACGCACAATCCAGAGCTGCAGCAGACTTGCAGAAGTATTGATGTTTGTATTTTATCAGCATCTAACATCCAGTGATGGATGGCATAGCTTTCATGCACCCATTAATCCCTGCAATCTTTTGGCACTATACTCCTGATGTTATGTATAAAACAAGTCCAGATTAATGGGGTTCATCATCTATCATTTCTTTGCAAATGGCTCATTGTCTCCATGACTGTGTTCAAAGGGGAGGGGAGACCAGTTTAAAGCTGCGGTAAGTAAGATTTTAGTAGCACAAAACAGCCATTAGACTTCTGCAATGGGTTATTGATCAGTATTAATGTCTCAAGGATGACTTCACCGGGAGTTGAGATTACTGGAATTTGAATTTCACTTGGCAAAAAAGGACTCCCGGACCAGGGACAAAGCACATATTTAATGCTACTCTAATCGATAATTCTGTAATAACAATGTATCATAAATGTGTAAATGTGAAAGAAGTCATCTGTATTGATGATCCTTAAGAGAGAATTATTTCCTGAACCTGCATCTCCCCTCAGCTTTATTGAGTTTTATAGCAAGTGTTAACTCATTCTTTAGCAATCAGACCCACAGCATTACTGTTTGGGTTCTCTCTCAAAGCTCCAGTTGCTGTAATGGCTTGTTTGTCTGCTAAAGTCGGCAGCTGCTTTCTATGAGTATTCTGTAATATTCTGATTCTGATACCTAGAGCTGAGAATTTATACTAATACACTAACTCTTCTGAGAACAATGTGGTAAAATAAATGAAGCCTAAGTATATTGATGGATACTGCTAACACTGTTTTGTACGATTGCTATCTGTGTTGTATTGCCATGCTCTCATTGTGAAGGACACCTGTTTCTTTTTTTGTTTTGTCCCTGATTTTAACATGTAACTGCCTAAATTGGTGATTTTACAAGTTTTATTATCTCAACATTAAATATGAAAGATTTACTTTAAGGAGAACTGGTGGATTAATGGTTACTTCATGTACCCCATGTACAGAGGCCTACAGTCCTTAAAACGGTTCAAATCCAACCTGTGGCTCCTTTTCCGCATGTCATTCACCACTGATTTCCGACTATCTACTGTCCTGTCTTTGAATAAAGGCATAAAAAAGCCCAAACATTAATCTTTAAAAAAAACACCTTACACAGCAAAAGTTGGCTAGCTTGGAAAGCTTGGGTAGCGTACATCCTCTGCTAGCATCACAGTGTTGTTGTTTGCTATCAAAGCTACTATTAGCTTCCATAATAAATACTGATGATGTTTGGGCTACTCTTTAGAAGAATAATTTAAATGTTTAATTATTTTAGAGAATTCTGGAGTAACAAATTAAAGTGAATCAGTGCATTCACTTGCATGGTGGAAGATACCCAATCTCAACACACAATACAATATCAGGGAAACTCTAGCTTTCTGAAAATTACTCCAAATAAAATCTGAATGTCTTTGTAACTGTAATATTTAAATAAAAATCAGTTTTGAAACAATTTCTCTACACTGGCTAACAACTTAATATTATCTATTAAAAACATGTTCTAGCTTCCCCTCAACAGCTCCAAGAATAAACACACACACTGTTCTTAAACACACTATTATAAATGGTGAAATATAGTGTTCTGCTCTCCGCTTTCCTTAGGCAGGTTACTCATGGTTGTTGCAAAACTGCGCCTTCAGTGCTTATGTTCATTACATGCTGATGTTGATGATGTTATTCCTCCATCATTACTGACGGCTGACTGGGCACCTCTAATCAAAACACTGCAATACATCACAGCTTTCAACAAATGTGAAGAATTTGTAAGCAGTAAAATAAACACTGCTGTGACTTATACTCTTTATAGCGATTTGAAACTGATGTATTTGTTTGCTGGTGTTAAGGAGAGGACAAGACATTGGATTACTTTATGGCTTTCTGCTGAACTAGTTTTATGAAGCTTGAAATTTGAGGTTAATCAAGGGGTGAAATGAGGCACTTTCTCAGGATCTCTGGTGTAAGACGACCCTTACCCCCTCTGAGCCCTCTGTCGAGAAGATTTATGAACAGCAGCAGGACTGTGTGCTTAAGAGCAAGTGTTCATCTTTGTGTGTGTGTGTGTGTGTTTATCAGTAACACAAAAAGAATAAAGCATCCATTGAGGTTTATTTCTTCTCTTGCTGTGTGTACATTTTTGGACTTTTGTCAAATTATTGGACCACGTGTCAAAAACATATATATCTGTGTAAGACTCACCGGGAGATCTTGGCATCCATGAGTAAAAAAAAAAAAAAAAAAAAGAAGACTTTTTGTACTTTTGATTTCCTTTCGAACGCAATCTTGGCGACACCATGTGAAAAGACCTTTTCACTGGCTTAGTCATATTTAACTGCACACATTTTCAAATCCCCCATGTTATCCTAAAATACAGCATGTGCCGGACAAAAAAGATGAGGGACCCATGGCCAGAAGGGAGACATAAAAGGAAAAAAATGGGGGAGATCTCATCTGGGGATCAAGCTTCGCAATCTTGGCTGACAGCGGCCAATTTCTGCAAGCATTTGGGAGCAATTTTGCTCCCTCACGACAGTGGACCTCGCTGACTGCTTTCAGGCTACTTGTGCATTCATGATGTGAGCAGATGGCAGACTAGAGATTCCCTGCACATCCTCTCGAAGCCTTTCCAGCTCCCAAGTCACTTTATTAAAAAAGAGAATCTAACCGTAAGTGTACGGTGTCTCTCTGGCATATCACTCCCGCTAAGGAGCCTGTCAGTAGTTATGTCTAAATTCTGCCTGTATGAACAAACTGTGGGGGGATATTAGAGCTTTATCATCTCAAGAGCTTCATGTTTGTGCCTTGAAAGAAATACTAAAGCATGCAACTTAAAGCTACTGTGTTTGCTTCATTATTGTTGGGTTTTTTTAGCCTAATCTCCCTGCCAAGTTTTGGGCTGCAAGAGCGACAAACACTGGGTCAACGTTGTCATCTTGTACTCGTTAACTCACTATGTGTTTACTTTGGGATTGAAGCACATGGCTGCAGGTTGTAAATATTCATCTCTCACCATCCATTCCATTGCTCATGTGCTGTACCATTTCTCATTTTCCCAAATCTATCAACAGTCTATGATCTGCTCACTTCGCCTGATTGCCTGCCAGACCTGCTGCAGGGGGGTCTGGCAGAGCAAGGCGTGAACGAGGCTTTCATCCTCGCCTCCTTCAAGTTGCAGCCCAAGACCGGAACCACCGTGTTTGGCCTGTACAACCCCAGGGACAACAGCAAGTACTTTGAGTTCACCGTGATGGGGAAGCTCAACAGAGGTAGGAGAACATGAAAGGGGCTCTGGCACAGTTTAAAGCTGCCCTGATCAATATTTCTGTAATAACATTTGATTAAAAGACTGGGTCTAAAAAAAGGGGTCAACAAGCATTACCTCCCAAAGAATTACCCCAAGTCTCTCCTGTTCCCTTTAATTAAATGGAGGGTTTTTTTTTTTTAATGTCTTTTAGCTCATTGTTTTGATTTCACAGCCTTCAACCTTAAAGTCTTTATTCACTCTCAACACTTTCATACACTTTAACAACACACAGCTGTTTTAAAGCTTTCATAAACTGTCTTAAAATCCAAACATACTTACGACTTACTTTTAAAATACTGTAAAGACAAACACCTTTTAATTGAACACATGCGAACATCTCAACGTCTAACCCTCTCTGTAATGGCTTCTGTGTTGTGCTTTCTTCTTGTAGTAATTATTTCCTATAATTTTCTTTTAATTTCCTGTTTTCTGAGCCGGTCAACTCCTCTCAGTGTTAACTATGTAGTCAAATGGGTTCAACATGTTCCACATTCTGTCTTACAGGCTTTATTTGACAATATAAATGTCTCTTTTGAAATAGGTTCCTTGTATGCTTAATTTACTAAAACATTGTTCTCCTTACAAGACTTTTTGAATCAGTAGTTTTTTATAAAAAGATGCCAGAGTTAAGGAGTGTCAGTGCGATAAGGACACGTTGCTGAAAAGCCAAGCTAATTTCCAGTGCTTTGAACATTTTACATGTCATTTTTATTGTATTTGGTTGAATGTTTCCTGACATTGCTATTTATCTGAAAGCCCCATTGCTCTAAAGTACAACCCCACAGATCCGTCGGTTAGGCAGACTCTTAGTCTTGTTGTAATTTAGATGAATAAACCTTTTACAGTAAACGCCTCCTCTTAATCCTCTCGCCTCTATTATCTCCTCTTTGCTACCATCTCTTTCTCCTTACTTTCTCTGTCCTCTCGAAGCTGTGTTACGCTACCTGCGGAGTGACAAGAGGATGAGCTCAGTAACCTTCAACAACCTGGTGCTGGCAGACGGCCAACAGCACCGACTGTTGTTCCACCTGAAGGGGCTGCAGCAGCAGGGGCCAGGCGGGGTGGAGCTGCATCTGGACTGTAGGCTGGTGGAGACAGTCAGGGATCTCCCAGCTGCCTTCCAGGGTTTACCAGCAGGCTACGGTACTGTGGAGCTGAAGATCATGCAGGCCAGAGACCAGGTAAACCAACTTAAAAGTGTGTTTGTGCAATAACCAGCCTTTCCAGAGAGCCTGGATTGCAGCAATGGATGCAATATCAACCAAACTCTGTATATTTGGCTCGGCTTTAAGAATTTAACCAATAACCCTCGTTGCCTTTTAATTCCAATATGTGTGCCATATATTTTCATCAGATGACATTGATCAATGTAATTTTAATGTATGCAAGAGAAACATTTTTGCTATACTGCCAACAGCTACACTGTGCAAAGACACTCCAGTGTCTCATTTTCAAAAGCGTCTTAATTTGGCAAAGAAATAAAGTCTTTCAGTGATTGGATGAAGAATTCACTTTGAATCACTAAGAATTAATCAAATTCTCAATGCCTCTTGTAATTATTTGTTCATTCTCTTCCCATGAGGCCTTTGGTTTGAGTCAGTAAGCCAATCAGAGGCTATGTCCTGATTCTGATTTGTGTCTGTGTCAGCATTAAATGAAATAATGAATGTTACTGTCTCAATAATGGATACTGATGTTTCCAACTGGTTTAGTCATCCACTTGTTTCCATTCTAACAGGAGAGTTTGGACGAGCTCAAGCTGGTGGTCGGGGACTCATTTGAGAACGTTGCTTCGATACAAGACTGCCATTTCCAACAAAGAGACTCCGTCCAGAGTCTGGGTAAGAGTCCTTCAGTGGAACTAAACAACCACAGAGATAGACAAATGTTTCCAAGGAAAACAATCCTGGCAGTGAGAAAACAACAGTCAGTGTTTGCCAGAGTGACTTGAGAGCATGCTCAGAGAATCCCCCACCTCTGCTACAGTCATACAAAATAAGGGTTCCTTTCTCTTAGGGGTCAACACGAAGCAGCTGTCCAATCAAATGCTGGAGTTAACGAAGGTGATAAATGAGCTGAAAGACGTCCTCATTCAGCAGGTAACTACCCCTAACAGTCCCTCTGAGGCCTTGCGTCTTTCTGACCTCCCTGACAGCTTGCCTGACTGTAAATAAACTTGTTCATGTTTGACCTCTTTCAGGTCAAAGAGACCTCATTTCTCAGAAACACCATTTCAGAGTGTCAGGCCTGCGGTAAGATTATGTCCATGAACAGTCACGTCATGCAACAGAAATGTGATGCTTTATGGCTATTTTAGGTTGGTTTATAATTAAATAAAAAATGTTTAATTGAATGCCCTTTCTTCTGTTATTTAAAGGTCTGGGTGGCACTGAGGTGGTGAAACCAAGGTGTGCCCCAGGTGTGTGTTTCCGTAATGATATGTGTATAGAGACAACGGATGGTGTGGAGTGTGGACCCTGTCCTGATGGATACACTGGGGATGGTTTCAACTGTGATGATGTGGACGAGGTAAGGCTTGCTGTGTGTGTGTGTGGATTTGTTATTCCTTACCTTATCTCTTCTGAAAATCCACATTCTTGTGTTATTCTTGGGCTCAAAGTTTGGTAATTGGGTGAAGAACATCGGTATGTTTGAGCTAAAAGTTGGCTTTTATAGATATAATGAGCACGTACTGTTTTATCATCATCTTGTACTCATTAGGCAAAACAGCATGTTAATATTCTGGATTTGGATCTAAATGAAAAACTTGAAACTAACAGCTTGTTAAATCCACCCGAGCCTCCTGTGTAAACAGAGAGGATTGCCTCAAGGGGGTCCTTAAGCTGCAGCAGACACCTTGCATGCATTTGGCTTTCAAACATGTGGTAAAGAGGTGTGTCTTTACAGTATTTTTTTGCCTTCACAATATGGCCCTTTGCTAATGTAGCAGTATATAAATTGATCAAAACGTAAAGTTTTGTTGTGGGTCCATTGGCCAACATATGGTCTACTCCTAAATATGATGCCAAAGAGTCAATACACAGCTATTTAATTGGAGGTTGCATAATGTGCAAATTTGTTTATTCCCCAAGAGGTAAGTCTGGGCCTGAGGCTGTTTCTCTCTTGAGAAAAAACTTTGTTATAATTCCACACAGAAATTCTGCCACTGTGTAGTCAAACCAGTACACTGGGACTGCCGTTTATATAGTATTTGAACCTTGAATCCAGGTGAGAGGAAATAAGTTGCCAAAGAGGAGGAATAATATGGATATTCTTTCAGGCCAAGAATCACATCGATTGTGATCTTTACATGCAATGAATTGAAAAAGGGCCAGGTTGATTTCATCAGACTGTTTTAGATGTTTAGCTTGGGATAGTGAAACTGAGTGATACAGGGAGTTCACTAAACTACAGGTGTAAGATTTCACAAGGCTTTTTATCATTAAACATAAAATCTTGAGATCATAATAAAGGCTCAAAGGGTCTTGGTACTTCAGAGAAGCTAGAAAAACAGAACAGGGTTTTCTGAATGTGAGCTAAAAGCAAAGGTAAAGTTAAATATGGTTAATGGACAGAAGTACAAAGATGTGTGTTTATGCATTCACCTGTCTGTCTCTGCCTGTTTGCTGTGACCCCTCTTCTAAGCACTAACCCCTTCAGCGTTCTCTCTTTTGCATGAGTAAAAATGTCATCAGGCCTGAAGAGCCTTAACAGAGACCATGTGCTTTTACCTGCAGTGCCAGTTTAACCCCTGCTTCCCCGGAGTGAAGTGTGTAAACACTGCCCCGGGGTACCGCTGTGACGTCTGTCCGCTGGGCTACACCGGACTGGCAGTGGAGGGTGTCGGCATATTGTTCGCCCAGACCAACAAACAGGTGAGTGGATTAAAAAAACAGAGAACCCAAAACTTCAAACTTAAAGCCTTTGGTTAAACATTAAACTAGGACTGAAATAGTCCATTTTAATGTAATAGCCTATAAATGGTGTAATTATTTACTTAAGCATGTAGTATCTACAAGGTTATGAAAAAAATTGTTCTGCTGCCTTTAAACACAATTTATAATAACACAATAAAAAAACTGTCACAGATTATCTATGCTATGTATTTAGAAATATAGGCGTGGGAATTGCTGTGTTATTTACAGTATCTTATGCCATACATGGACCATAATAACAATACCACGATACAGCGATCTGCGACAATTAATATGCATGACAATTACATATGATAAATGAAGTTTAATCTATTGATGAATATAAATTGCCTCTAAAAAGATAAAATGCAGGATTAATGTATTTGGTGTCTGTCACGCTTCATTCTTTAGCCTTTTCCACCACTGTTGGACGTTATCTTGCCATCAATTTCTTCTTAGCTAATTAACTTCCGTTCACATTATCTCCATTCATGTCATAAGCGCCATGTGAGGAATCATGAAGTAGTTGTGAAGTGGTTGTCAAATCTGATAATTAGCACCAGCGATTTGATAATAATACCACACACAATATATTGCCATATGGAGAATTTGTGACCTCTATTACAATGTTATAGTGAAACTTGTACTTCACTGCAGCATTTTAGTGCTGTAGCTTATAATATAAGGCGAGCTTCAAACCGTTTTAAACCCAGTGGTTTTCCCCTCTAAAGACTCACACAATAAAAAACTAAGTTCTGACACCCAATCCATCAATCTATCCATCCATCCACCCATTTGTCTTTCTTTGAACATTTTTCAAATAAAATCATGTAAGAGGTCTGTCATGAGAAGAAAGTGTTGGACATATTCACAAATGTTAAATAAATCTGGCACTCCTGAGTTCATATTCAAATAATGAAAGCCGTTCTCAGAAGCTATAGACAGTGTGACACAGCAGTAGGCTTTAAAGAAATGGCAGTAAGCTCCAACATCAGATTCATACAGCTTATAGTTTAAGTTAATACATGGATGTTTTGCCCGTGATTTAGTCGTCAAACATACCATTTGTACATAATGTGAAAGCCATCCAGCTCATTTTATACTAATGTTTCACATCAGGGCAAGCAGTCTTGGTTGTTTACCAAAATGCCAAAAACAGCAATGAAATCCATTCATGATTTGATAAACCGTTGTGATTTGCCAAACCCAAATCAGGTCAGAAGAAAATCTGTCTAAAGAGGAGGGGAGGGAAACGGATGAGAAATAACATTTTTGTTTTTACAGGGCAATGTTTAGGATCCACATGTTTAATCATTGGCAATTTGTTGTATTTTTTAAGCTAATTGTGGTTTTTTTTGTATTTTCAAAGTGAAAGTTATCAGTAATAAATGGATACATTTAGTATAAAATCTCCCTATACAATGACATGTAGTTGAGGTACAAGTGCCTGGAATATGTACTTTATTATGAAAAGCAAGTCCATTTTTTTTTACATAAAATATGGTAACATTGAAATTACAAGAACGAAACTAAGGAAACTTGATATTAAAACTATGAAGATCAAAGATTTAATAATTACAATTTATCATGTTGCCAAATTCAGGTCTGTGACGATGTCGATGAATGCAAAGCACCCAACAACGGAGGCTGCACTGCGAACTCCATCTGTCACAACTCTGTGGTAAGGCTGCAGTTAAACTGAACAATTCTGGAAACTACAAAGGGCACGTGTAGGACAATTATTTTATTTATGTGGCTTACAAATCACTGTCCAAAGAAGAACCAGGTGTGTTCATTCCTGCACAGGGCTCTTACCACTGCGGCAGCTGTAAGACAGGTTTCGCAGGAGATCAGTTGAAGGGCTGCAAGCCAGAGCTCAGCTGTGGGAACAGCCTGACCAACCCCTGTGATATCAACGCACAGTGTGCTGTAGAGAGGGACGGATCCATCTTTTGTCAGGTAGTTGTTCATACTTTTTACACTCACATGCATTTATCTACAACCCGCATAAAAGAAATACGCCACATAGTCACAACTCCATAAAGTTTGGATATTCTAAAGAGTGTCTTTTGTCTTTTCAGTGTGGAATCGGCTGGGCAGGTAACGGTTACCTGTGTGGAAAAGATACTGACATTGATGGATACCCCGATGATAAACTTAAGTGTAAAGATGCAAGCTGTAAAAAGGTAACAAACATGCATATTGTACGTAAACAGAACTATGCTGTTACAAGCAGGCCCTTTTTTTTTTTACATCACTTAACGGCAGCATCTCTTTACAGGATAACTGCATCTTTGTTCCTAACTCTGGTCAAGAGGACGCCGACAGGGACGGTAAAGGTGACGCCTGTGATGAAGACGCAGATGGTGATGGTATACTGAACGAGCAGGTTGGTGTAATATATTTTGCATTTGTTGATCATCATCTACAGTATGTTGCAACCAAGAAATTAGAGCTTAGAGCCTTATTAAGCTATTAAAAATCAGAATTTCAAGCCGTATATTGTAATCTCCTTTTGGCAAGTATGAATTCTTGATGAGCAGGTTACTATTCTTATTTATGCTTTTCTGATATAGTTTCGAAAAAGAAAAGTTAGGTTATTAAAAAGACAAACTTGTCATTTAGAGAACCATATATGGCTTTTTTAGCTGAGGTAAACAAGAGGATCAAAACATGATTTGCCCATCTTAAAATGGAAGAATTATCAAGATTATTTCTAGATATAGGTAAAGGCATAGTTTAAAGAAGCAATATGTAACTCTGACACCTAGTGTTTAAAATGGGTACTGCCGTCCAAATTGAAAACATCTGAGAGACCTGACTCTTCCCGCCCCCTCCTCCCTATGGTTGACGTGCGCCAAGTTTGCCATGTGGTAAACACAGAAGCTTCAGTGTTTAGCCACCTCTGGATCGTTGTTCTAACCTCTTTCCATTTTTCAAAAGCATCTCCAATTTTTATCCTAATTTTACTACGTTTCTGGTCGTGGAGCTTATAAGAATAATGTCGAGGCTTTTTAGGTCGAGTAGAATCGGTTATATCTGAACCAGTTTCGAATCGAGAAAAAGCTGTATGTAGTCTGTTTCAGGTTAAACTGACATAACCACTCGGACGAAGCAATGCATATCCCAAATTTAACCTGCAAGGAGGACCAAAGGCTGGCGGTACAAGCATTGCTAACGTTAACCACACTCAGCTAAACGACTTAACATGTTTTACCCACTGACGATGTGATCTCTTGTTTACGATGTTAAATAAATTGTACCCAATTTTGGCTATTTTGTGAGTGTTTTCCTTCAGACTGGTCGACTAGTCTGAATTTAAATTAGCATTTAACCGAATATGAAATAAACAGCTAGGAAAATCCTTAGTGACAACACTTCAGGAAGCCATTGCATCTGGAAATTCTCCTTAGGTTTTTCAGAGATACACACCAGTATCTCAAAACAACCAAATGTACTAGGTACAACTCATTTTGTTTTGTTGGACAAAAACACATATTTAAAGACATGAAAATAGTTTGACACCCAACCTCAAGTTAATACACTTTGGATTTATTATGCAATGAAAACATGATATAATGTGTTAATTATTAAGCTTTTTTATGTGCAGGCTGGCTTAACTTTATTTGAGTAATGCCAAGTCCCCTATTTTCAGTCTTTGTTCTAAGCTACGCTAACTGGCTGCTGGCTCCCACTTCATATTTGCTCTTCAGAGAGGAGGGTCATTAAACTTCTCATTCGACTCCCCTTACAATGTTTCACTAACCCGTTAGAAAATGAATTTATCCTCAAAACAGTTCTCTCTATTGATTGTCATCTAATTGTTTAAGCTTTCTGCTTGCAAGGACATTTGGATAGATACTCCAAAAGATGTATTCACAAGCTTGTTCTAAAGCACAAATACACTCAGAGATATTTATGGTCTGAACGAGGCCTTTTTGTTCTCTGTGTGACTCAGGACAACTGCTGGTTGAAGCCCAATGTGGATCAGAGGAACAGTGACAAGGACAGCCACGGCGATGCCTGTGATAACTGTCGCATGGTGGAGAACCCTGACCAGAGGGACACCGACAGTGACGGCAAAGGGGACGCCTGCGATGACGACATGGACGGAGACGGTATGGAGAGAAATTACATCATTAACACTGACGTTAGTGCTTATATAACCAGCATCACTGAAGGCACTCACTGTTATAATTTATTAGTGTGTTCTTTCTTCACATTTCTTACATTCATTAAATAATACATGAAACTCTCTCATGCAGTCATAGTTTACAGTACATTACACATCCCTTTAATCATGTTGTGGCAATATATCAAGGTGCAGTAGTATGGAAGCTTTTAAGGGCTAGCTGAGGCATGAGTAACAGCACTGCAGAAAATAAAGAAATAAGTTGAGGCCAACAGCAGTCTGACCTCAGAGCGAACACAAGCTTTGATCATCCAGCAGCATGATTACACCTCAAAAAAGCCCCACAGGAGAGAAGATAGCTTTTCCTTATCGCTGCCGCTTGACCTTTAAGCATTTGTGGTGCTGCTGCTGCCTCCATGCGATGAATGAAAAAAGCACCAGAACACAAACTGGTGTTCACCACATAGGAAGTACAACAGTGCAACCAAGTGGTGAGTTTACAAATAGCAAGTCAGGTGATAATTCATTCGCTCAAAGTAAGGTTATAACGTCTCCATTTATCCAAACACTCCTCGATGAAACATACTCGACTCAGTGCGAGTGTTTGTCAAGAAAATTATAGAAAGTGAGACAATTCTGCTACTAAAATAAATCATTTTGATTGATTTAACCCAAGTTGTCATGATATCACTTTGGCAATAACTGTACTTACATACATAATATACAGTTACATGGTTTCTTTTGTAAATGTTGGCAGATAATCATTATTTTCATTGTGAACATTATGAGATTATTCACTCCATTATTATAAAATGAGAGAAAACACTAGTGAAAACTGTCCCATCACCATTTTCTAAAGCTCAACGTGGTATTTCCAAATAATATCAAATATATATCTGACCAAAAGCCACAAAATCTAAGATTATGTTCCCATCATACAAGAAATACACTTTGTAAAAAAAAAAACGGCACAATTAAGAAGATGGAACTGTAAGATATTTGGTACTTCTAAAAACTATTACAGACATTGGAATTTGAAAATAATCACTTTCTGATCTTTAAATTTCTCTTCTATCTCTTGTGTGAGCCACTGATCCAAAATAAATGGAAACGGATTAGATAATCTCTATATTCACTGCTGAAAAAGACTCCGTCTGAGTACTAAATAACACTAACAGTCTCCTCCCGCTGATTGGCGAGCAGGCCTCAAGAACTTTCTGGACAACTGCCAGAGAGTCAAAAACAGAGACCAGCTGGACCGGGATGGAGATGGAGTTGGAGATGCCTGCGACAGCTGCCCTGACATCCCCAACCCAAACCAGGTCAGTCCGAGCCAGAGATATGGCTCACTGTGGTGAAAATGAATTTAGTAAATTTCCCCAAGGACTGAGCATCTGTGATCACAGGGGTCATTCTACTGTTGAACATGCAACAAGTCATTTTTCATTTGGTTTTCTAAACTTGAACCTGAGTCGTCATTTTAGGGAACTCTTTGCTCTCGTTTCAGTCCGATATTGACAATGACCTGGTAGGAGACTCTTGTGACACAAATCAAGACAGGTAAAAAAACAAGCCATTTTTGAACAATTACCTCCGACTACTGTGACTATGGCTTTTATTTACATTAAAGCGTAATCGTTTCACTTCCCCTGCAGTGATGGTGACGGCCACCAGGATACCAAGGATAACTGCCCACACGTAATCAATAGCTCCCAGTTGGACACAGACAAGGACGGAATGGGTGACGAGTGTGATGATGATGATGACAACGATGGGATCCCTGATACTCTGCCACCGGGACCAGACAACTGCAGACTTGTACCAAACACAGACCAGACTGATGACAACGGTGAGTATTAGTTTCAGCAACATAAAACATAAGCAAAGTTTAGATGTCATTTCTCTGTCTGAACACTGGTCCAGTGAGCTTAAATACAGTCCATTATTTTATGCACATGTCCATATTCTCCATGCACTGTTCCTGGCTGACCTTTACAAGCAATTCAAGGACCAAGTGGGGCTTGTAGCTGTTTTTTTTGTTGGTTTCAGTGAGACAGTGTTGTAAAATAGAGATCCAACTTTAGGTGATCCAACAATGTTCTTCTTTTTTTGGGCTTCAATAAGCACTACAGCAGAAATGGTCATTTTAACCATATAAAGTTGAAAGTTGAAAAACACAGTTGAAATGTTCGTTAAGCACAAGAGTCAAACTCGGCCCTTCCTCCTGGGCTCCTCGCCACCAGAAGCGCACACCCACTACAGGAATTTAGTATGTTTACTACCTGTAGCTACACTGCAAGCTACTTGACCATAGACCTATTACATTTGTTGTAATGGGAAAGCCTATCATTTAGCACCCTAGCAAAAGCTTTATATATCTTTTTGGAGCTAAAAACTAACCACTAATTGTGTGACCTTTCGGATGTTGTAACTGCAGTTCATACAGTCTATTTGTCAAGACTCAAAATGTTCTTATTTCCTTCCTTTTAATAATCCAACTCATAAGACAGATAAAGAACTACATGTGACATTATTTTGGAATGGCGAAAAAACGTCATAGCAATTTCTGATTAAAAAACAAACAAACATGGATTCAGATGAGAAACTTCAGTGCAATCCATCAAAATGCAACCAACAGCCGTGTTCTTTAGTTAAAATGTGAATAGCCCCCTAAGAAAGGGTTTGTTTTCTTTTACACTTCGGCAGCATACTTTGGATGATTTGTATTCAGACACTGCAGCTCTGCAGCTTCTCAAACGGATGCATCAATTTCCTTTGGAGGTTTGCCTTTATGACATTTTTGTTAAAGCCAGTTTCAAATCTCAAAGTCGTGACGAGGCAGAAAGCACATTGGATTTAAAAAGAATGAAAGGAACGATCGCTTTGCATACTGATGTAACATACCCGTAGTCATGATATAAAAATCAACTGCCTTTAAGACTTTAATTTTAAAAAAGACTAAATTCTAAATCTGAAGTCTCTGCTGTGTTTCAGATGATGGAGTTGGAGATGTGTGTGAGTCTGACTTTGACCAGGACAAGGTGATTGACAGGATTGACAACTGTCCTGAGAATGCTGAGGTTACCTTGACTGACTTCAGGGCGTATCAGACTGTGGTGCTCGACCCCGAGGGTGACGCTCAAATTGACCCCAACTGGGTTGTTTTGAACCAGGTATGATTATTCACCATATCATCATGTACATTAGCCAAACATCAAAGCAGCAATAGCCGACATAACAATGGATCAAGTGGCACCATAAATTGAGGGAAGAATCATTTGTAGTGATAAAACTGCTGGAAATTATTGTCCAAATCTGTATGCTTGACTTAATAGAGCTTTAAAATTAGTTTCTGCTCAATGTTTACCTGCCATGCCCCAAACTTTGCTTCAGCCTCATAGCTCTAATAGCATTTGTGCAGGCGGCTGCTTTTACCTAAAAGCTATACACTCATACTCACACTGTACATGACAAAATGTACAAAGTAGCTAAAGGCTCAAATATTTCCATAAGGATTTGGTAGAAACCAAATACAGAGATAAAATGGGAATACATTTTTCGACTTTGCCAGTTCATTATAAAAACAATGCCAAAGTAACGGTAATATTGCTCTTCAACTGTAGATGTGTAAAGCCAATGTTTGCTAGCAGTTCAATAAGGGTATCAAAGTACTCCACTTCTCATTAGCTGCTTTATATCTTTCTCAAACAGGGAATGGAAATTGTTCAGACCATGAATAGTGACCCAGGACTCGCTGTTGGTAAGCAAATCACCTTGGTTAAATGTCAGTCACTAATACAAAAGTTCCCCAAAAACAGTCTGGACCTAAACAGATAACACTTCCTGTTGTCAGGTTACACTGCTTTCAGCGGAGTGGACTTCGAGGGCACATTTCACGTGAATACAGTCACTGATGACGACTATGCCGGGTTCATCTTCGGCTACCAGGACTCATCATCCTTCTACGTGGTGATGTGGAAGCAGACTGAACAGACTTACTGGCAGGCGACACCGTTCAGAGCTGTTGCCGAGCCTGGCATCCAGCTTAAGGTGAGGAAACAAGTCATGTAATAAATACCCAGCAGCAGATGCTTACACATCCTATTTTTATCCGTTAATGTATTTCCATATTACTGCCTTTCTGCTGTCCATCTGCTTTCACATCCTACATCCTTCACTTCTCTCTGTCTGTGTTCATCAGGCTGTAAAGTCTAGATCAGGCCCAGGGGAGCACTTGAGAAACTCTCTGTGGCACACAGGCGACACCAACGATCAGGTGCGTCTGCTGTGGAAAGACCCCAGAAATGTAGGCTGGAAGGACAAGGTGTCCTACAGATGGTACCTGCAGCACCGCCCACAGGTTGGATACATCAGGTACGACAAAGCACTTATTATTATTATTATTATTATTGTTATTTTTCTACTTGTCCATGAAATACATGTTTTACATTTTGGGGAGTTGACTTATTCACTTTCTACTGTAGCTTAGCCTAAAGACTGGAAACAGCTGCACACAGCTAGCACTGCTCTCACTGAAGGTAAAAATCAATAACGTAAAATTTTGGATTTATCAGGCATCATGGTTAACATTACTTTTATAGTAATTCCCTAAATCACAGTTTGTTGCCTCGTGACCTAATTTTTAAAAGAGCTGTTAGTTGTTTTATCTCATGTCCTCTCATTTTGCTAAGCTACACTAAATGGCAGGTACAGGTACATTTTTACTAGAGGTGGGGGAAAAATCAATACAGCAAAGTATCATGATATTTTGTGGTCTGTGGTCCTCCAAGCGGGCGGCCCGGTTCAAATCCAGCCTGTGGCTCCTTTCCCGCATGTCATACCCCACTCTCTCTCCCTGAGTTCCAACTATATCCACTGTCCTGTCTCTCCATTAAAGGCACAAAAAGTCCAAAATATATATCTTTAAAAAACAAAACAAAAAATACTGCAAATGTACAGTCATCCTGACTCGTCCGTATGTTTGTGATCAGCTAAGTTCAATCAGACTGAAATACTAACAGTTCAGATTGTGAGGTGCATGCAGCCTTTTCTCAGCAATTCTCAGGATATCGCAAAATGTTTCAAATCGCAATAATATCGTATCGTGACTCAGGTATTATGATAATATTGTATCGTGACTCAAGTATCGTGATAATATTGTATCACGACTCAGGTATCGTGATAATATCGTATTGTTACTCAGGTATCGGATAATATTGTATCGCGATAATATCGTATTGTTACTCAGGTATCGTGATAATATCGTATTATTACTCAGGTATCACGATAATATTGTATCGTGACTCAAGCATCGTGATAATATCGTATTGTTACTCAGGTATCGTGATAATATTGTATCGTGACTCAGGTATCGTGACAATATTGTATCGTGACTCAGGTATCGTGATAATATCGTACTGTGACTCAGGTATCGTGACAATATTGCATTGTTTATACAGGTATTGTGATAATATCGTATCGTGACCCAGGTATTGTGATAATATTGTACCGTGACTCAGGTATCGTGATAATATTGTATTGTTACGCAGGTATCGTGATAATATCGTATCGTGACTCAGGTATCGTGATAATATCGTACCATGACTCAGGTATCGTGATAATATCGTATCGTGGGGCCTCTGGTGATTCCTACCCCTAATTTTTACCAACATGAGTCTCAATCGCCTCATCTCATCTTCTACTGTGCAAATACGTTAAGAGTGCTCTTTCCAAAATGTCACAAGTGGAACACAAAACATAGATGACATCAATATTAAAACATCCCTCCTTGTGTTTTGTTCAGGGCCCGGTTTTATGAGGGAACTGAACTAGTGGCTGACTCTGGAGTGATAATTGACACAACCATGAGAGGAGGACGACTCGGCGTGTTCTGTTTCTCCCAAGAAAACATCATCTGGTCTAATTTGAAATACCGCTGCAATGGTAAGAAAGGCTTTGATCTAAATCCCACTAATTCATACGTTTTTATTCTTGTAATGACTGTGATGCCACGCAAGGCAACATTTGACTCATCTTATTGCTTATATTAAATTATCTTTTATAACTTGTGTCTGAGCAATGACAAAACTGACATTTTATCAACAATAATAACAAGAGTTCATCAACACAAGTACACAAGTCATCTTCCTTTTGTATATTCTGATTCATCATATCTTGTTTTTCTTCCACAGACACAATCCCAGAGGACTTCCAGGAGTTCAGTAATTAGTGCTCTGTCAGCTCACTCTTAAATGGAGACAAGATGATGACACCAGATCTTAAAAGAATGCTGTGTGTGTGTGTGTGTGTGTGTGTGTGTGTATGCCTTGTGCGTCTGTTTATCTTTGTATTAATGTGTACAGATTCTGTGCAAATATGTCCAAAACTTTTGGACTGTATGTGTCTATTATAATGTCTGTGTTATTTCCAGAAATAATGCAACGCCACATGAAGAGCAACTGACACAAGGGATAACATAAAACATAACATATGGCTAATAATGGACGTGTAATGCTAATTTAGTGACTTTCATTCCGCAGAGTTGTATCACACAAAGCACCTACCTATTCAAATACATCATGATTTTTTTTTTTTTCAGTGAAATGATTAAAAGAAAAAGCATTTTGCTCCTAATATTGAGGCTTTTTCCTTTAGATAAGTGCCATAAACATGTTCAAACAACTGGAAGAGAAAACAGAACCTGCCTGAAACAACGTTTAACTAATGTGTCTACATTCTGATCATGCACAGGCTGTATTTGTTGACAATGACATTGTCATTTGACTCCTTTTTTGGGAGACAAAGAAAAGACTGTGCCGTGTCTCTAACTGTAGATGATTAACTTAAAACTCATTGTAACCTTGTTTTCTCTCTCCATACTTTGTCCTTTGAATATTGATCATTTCATATCAGTGTATTCATGAACCAGATCAAAATAAAGGACTTTACAAAGTGGAATTCATGACATTGATTATTCAGGTGAGACTTTTGGGATTCATTTTATTTTCCTCTAAAATGTTTTGATATTATCATTACATAATCCACTGATTGCTTGAAAACTCAAATATCCTTCCTTCCCTGAGAAATTGGCACGTTTTCCTTTCACTCATAGGCTGCCCTAGAAAGAAATGCCTGAGCAGGAAATATTTTCCTAATAAGCACATTCCTCTTGCAGATTAGCTGAGATGAATACAGAGATGTTGGTCTTTGCTCTGGGCATGCTCCTCCGGAAAAAAGACAATGAGGGGTGTTTTTTTTTGGGGCTTTAAGTGGAGGTTTCGTAACATCATGTAGACGGCTTTATATCTGGATGTTTGATAAAGTACGCACGCTTTCTTTCACTTGAAAGAAGAAACTTCAAAGTCATTGATCCCCAACGAAGAGAGGTAAGATAAAAACCCTCTCCAATATTTATTCTGTAAGAAGTTGAATGATGCACTTCTAAATGCAAAGACAGATGGTTTAATATACCAACAAGTGTTATTGTATTTGTCAGACATATCACCATGTGACTGGTAGACTCCGTAAGAGCAAAGTATTTATTCCACTTTGTATAAGTATATTAATGAATTAAACAGTCTAAAATCTGACAAACACATTCTTACAGATTTGTCCTTGCCTCTGCTTTGGCCCTCGTAGTCATTCTTTGTAAATTCAATGTGTTTTATATTTTCATGTATTTTAAGCCTTGAATCCAGTGTTTGCCTGGGTTTTGTAACACTCGACTTGCACAGACAATTATCGACAACACTGTGTGAATAACGAAACTCCCAGGGGCCTCCTTAAAAAGCTTAAAGTAAACAAAACAACAATCGAATGATCCAGATATTCAAAGCCATAACAATATGACTGTTTAAAGATAACAACATACCGTTTTGAAGTAGCTCTAAACACATGTTAGATGGCAGTTTAAATGAGAGATTATTCACGGTTTTATACTTGTTCACACCTTCAATCCCCAAAAGTTTCTGCAGAGTTGAGTTCAGTCTCTTTTATTTCAGTTGATTCTTAAGAAGTATTGTCGCACAGAGGAAGCGAGGCTACCGACAGATCTGTGAGATCAAGAGGTTCAGCGCTCACTGAACAACATAAACACAGCCAGGCTTTCATGCAGAGAAACTGGGGCTGGGGATGTTGACGGTAACAGTGGGACGCTCTTCGGGAAATCTGCTTTGATCGCTGCTACAAAAAAATAAATGAAAAATAAAGACAGAAATAGAAAATGATGAGGCAAACTGACGTTAGGGTTTAGATTTTTTAGCTCACCTTGATGGAATTGTTTCCACCTCAGGGAGCAAAGGGAATCAGGTTCACCAATTGAATTTGTGTGCATTGAGGTTACAACTCTTCTGTAATTTAAGAGTAGCAAGGGAAAGGTGGAAAACAATATATCAGGGTCTGAAGAGTATAAAAGAAAAAAGCAATAATGTCACTGGCTGTCTCTTCATACCTCATCTCAATCAATCAATTGTAAAGCTTTTATTTGCCATACAGACCACACAGACAGAACGTGTGACTCATACCTTTGTTAGCAGCATTCAATCTAGCTATCTGCACCTCTCTGACCTTCACTTCCGTCCTTCCTTCACTTCTTGTCAGAATGCACAAAGAAATCTATAAAGGTAAGAAACCAAACAGTGGTCCTACATGACCCAGCAACTGGAAGGGCAAGGGTCACAGAGGTTCAGTGCATTCTACAGACACTTAACACTATGCAATGCCACATGCTGATATTTTATCAGATGTGATTTTCCTATGTTTGTCAAGTTAGCTTAGCATGTCCCCATGCTAACATGTAATAAACACACATCTGATGGGAAGGCTGATCGGTATGTCAGATACAAATCAAATCTACAAAAAAAACTACTACTTGAAGAAAAAATTAATGGATGTAGAAGTTGTAAAAAAAAATCCCTTTCATTCTTAAGGGAAGATGTTTAACAAAAATAAAATCGCATGGCATCTACACAACATTTAAAGAGACATTTGACTCAAAATTTACCAATACCAGTTGATCACTAAAGATATGAATCAGTGTTTCACCACACATAGACGATACCTGGGCGCGCAGCCCAAATATATTTTCAATCGTTTTTTATTAATTCATTTATAAACTCACTGCCACATGCACAAGAGCGAGAGAGACAGAGAGACGGCGAGAGATACTGCGAGAGAGCTAGATAGAGAGAGGGGTCCGCTGTCCGTACGTCCCTCCCGTAAAGGCACAGATTGAGGTGCAATATTCATATCAAAACTGACACGTCTACTCCATGGTTTTAATATTTTGATGCTGCCATGCACTCGTAGTTTACCATGATTATTGTAACACTCATCATTGAGCCTCCTCTTGCACAATCACCTGAGCTAATTTTAAATAGTCATATTTGAAACTGCTGGGTATGAATGTGGATTAGGCCTACCTCACATAGCCCCAAGAAATCCTACCTCAATTGATTTTATATTACTTATGTGTATCCGAGAAGTATGCAACATGACGATGATTATGATCAAAACGAATTAACAGTTGTTGTTTAAATTATAATTTCTCAGAGCCATGTGTTAGATTTAGTTAGGCTTTTGTAATTCCCATTATGGAAGTAATCTGCTAACAAGTTGCGTATTAGTAATTAGGGTTTGAGGAATTTTACATAATTTAACTGAGGTTTCAGACTTTCAGACTGATTAAGAAATAATGCCCCTCATGCCTTTGATTATAAATGTTTAAAAATGCAGAAAATGGCGTCATTCTTCCATTTTTCTCCAAAGAAGGCCCCACTCTTGTTTGATGTGCACGCTTGTACAATAAAAGGGACTAACAGGCAGACATCTGGGCCAACTGAATTACACATGTATCACACTCATCTGTGTCGCTCGTGCTGTGATTGTCACTCGTACTGGAGATATTCTGCACACTCAAACACTTTATATTAAAGCAGGCTACAGGTGGTTTTACTAATGTCTAGTGAACTAGCAAAATACAACAGGTGCAGCCCTTCAAAGACTATCAGTTAACTTGCTAAACTTCGACATAACCTGACTTATTTGCAGTAACAGAAGTCTGTTTCTCTCACACATTCAATATACATCTGTGCCGCTTCGTTTCTAAATTGTTACATCACTTGCTCACCTGCAGAAACCCAAGCATATACATAAATTTAGCATGACTTCATATTAATGGACCTGTAAACTGAATTAATCATGGCATCAAAGACCCCTATGGTGCCCCAAAGCTTCCCCAAAATCTGCCTGCGTGAGACCTAAGGCTCAAATATACTTGCTTTTGAACTACACATACGCGTACACAACATGCTGCATTGTGTACGCGTAGGCTGTGTGGCTTTACTCATTCATAACCACAAACAAACCTACCAAGCCTTTACAGGTGCCTTTGTATATGGATATATTTCACTATATGACTGAACAAGGTAATATACAAATCAAAAATAAAACACGAGAATGGGGGTTCCTAGTGTCAATGGACATGTTTGACATTACTACGGCCCTGACCAAAGGTATGTCGAAATGGTCCCAAACTGACTTAATTACCATAAAATCCGGAGTGTTAAGACGCACTTTTAACACCTATTTTTTCGTCTTAAAAGTTGGCTGCGTCTTACACACCGGTGCGACCAATATACCAGTATAAAATACTGAAACATGCGCCGTCATTACCGCGGTGACGCAGCCCCTATCACTGCAACCTGATGAAACCCATCCCCATTCATTGTGTATTGAAAGCTTTTCTCCTTTGCGAGGTCATAATCATGCATTTACAGAAAACAGTGGTATATTGTTCTGTAAATAAACCTTGTAGAGTGCTCTTTTGATTGAAAGACTCCCATATTAAAGTTGAAGAGTGACCAGCGGAGTCGGGCGGCGCGACTCGCAAGCTAGGGCCCTTTTTCAAACCAAACCCTACACCCTACACCTACACCCTACACCCTACACCCTCCCCCTCTGTGACGCAGTGCACTCAGTTAGAAGTCACACTCGCAGCTGAATGAAGTCCCCTTCATCAAGGTGTAGGGTAGAAATACAGCGGCAGGCTTTGGGAAAAACTTCCCTCTCTCAGGTGGAAACGGGAACTGTCTGTTACCATGGGAACAGTTTTTTTTTGTAGCTAATGCATTCTGTAAAAAATCTTTATGTAGCCTAGATTATTCTTAGTCTTCTTTAGTAAGTTATATTAGTGTAGACTTTTTTAACAAAACTATTAGACATTGTTTATTGTAATTTATAATTTCAGTTAAGTTATTGTAATTTTAAAGAACACGGTGTCCTAAATTAATGCAAAGACAAGGATAATATTGTTGAACATCAGAGCAGCAAAAAGTGTATTTTTCGTTGTTGAACTGAGATTTCACAAAGACATCAAAAGTAGAAAAATAAGAAATAAATGTTAACGGCGAAAAGTTGTCTGCAACATGATTTAATATTATTTTGTTTTTGCGACAGTCCCTGTAAATATAAAACACTTAACAATAAATAAACATATATTTGATCCTCGGTAAATTACACATTTGAAGTTGTTAACATCTGGATGAGGCTATTAAATGTCTATCTTAGTTGGAGCAGTGTTTATAGGCTCTTGCACGGAACTCACAGGTTGCTTCATCCATGACGACCGGACACAATAGGAGTTTGCATGTGATCCGAAAGTCGGCATCGGTGGTGCAGACTCGCTGGTGGAGGGTTTTACAACCCACTACCACTCCCCGCTCATTGGTTTGGGACGGACTTAATATGACCGTGAGGACGCGCAAACGGAGGGGAAGTGGGTAAGGAGAGGGTGTAGTGGCTGGTTTGAAAGAGACCCTAGGAGTCTGTGCCTCACAACTTTCCCTGCAGACTGGGAGCTCAACTACCGTACTGTAGCTAGTAGGAGCGCAAACTCCCCCCGAAAGTGAAAACAGGCAGAACTAAAAGAGCGACACAGCTGCACAGAAACTGCACGTTGTAGACATTGCTGAACACAATATAAATCGTCACGCAGGAAGACAGTTTCAACTTTTTTTTTCCTCTCTAAGAGACCTTCAAAACAGGGTGCGTCTTATATTCCCGATTTTACGGCAGTTGCCTGTTGAATACTTAATATCTATTTTGCTTAATTTGTTGACAACACCTGACCAATTCTGAAGACAATATGGACAACAACAACCAGCCTTCACATGATGAAGGTCCAGCTCGCTCCTGTTTCTTCAGCGCTGTTGGGCTGTTCACCGGAGACATGAGACTCTGCAGAGAATGGGTGAAAAGTATGTTTGTTTTTTTTCATCTTCAAAGTCACATGCCCCATTGTTATTTCATTAATTCTAATGTACCAGTGATTTTTGTCAGTCTAAAGTTAACGTTGACAGCCTATCAAAATGAATTCTTTTTCCACATACTGCAGGACAGGTTTTGGTTCTCCAACTGACGGACTGGATTTTCCGAGGGGTGGCCCAGGTCATGTTTGTTAACAACCCTCTCAGTGGGGTCCTCATCACATGCAGCCTTTTCCTGCAGAACCCCTGGTGGGCCCTGAATGGTCTTCTGGGGACCCTTACCTCCACTGTATCCGCAATGTTGCTAGGACAAAACAGGTCTGACGGCATCTCCTTATCCTTATTTGACTTGATCAAAGAAAATGAAAACATTTTCCTCCTACTATAAGCCATTATCGCCGTCTCTTCCACTTGTATTCCCTGGGGCTTCACTTTCCTTAGATTTCCAACTGTGCAATTTTCAGTTTGCCTCTCATATAGGCTAATTGTGTTTTGCACTCACGTTGACTACATCTGTCACACTCGCATCAGGGAAGCCATATCAGCGGGTTTGCATGGCTACAACGGAACATTGGTCGGCATGCTGATGGCTGTTTTCTCCGCCAAAGAAAGCTGGTACTGGTGGCTGTTACTGCCAAATATGTTTATGTCCATGTTGTGGTAAGTGTTAGCTTCATTTTCATCTAATTGATTAAATGGCACACACTTAGTAAGCGACAAAGGCAACAGCATGTAGCAATTCACAAGTTACGAGCAAATTAACACAACAATTAGTCTATTTTGTTCTGAACTTTTTCGTAGAAGATGACAAACAAACAAAAAAGACCATTGTGCAGAGCGTTCTTGAGCTACAACATCGGAAAAATCCAAAGGTTGACTGGTATGTTAAACTAAGCCTGGATGATGGATTAAGCAAAAAGTAAATATATGTAAACGGTGGAGATAATGCACAACCATACAATTTCTCACACCGAGCTTCCCCCTTCCCTTAATCGAAACAAAAATCAACCCAGGCAGGGTCACAATGTCTACATGTAATGGTCTGCCTTTCCGTCCAATCAGCACTCCATTTCCTCTTCCTGTTTACAGCCCGGTGGTCTCCAGTGCCTTGTCCTCAGTTGCCAGCAAATGGGACCTCCCAATATTCACCCTTCCCTTTAATATTTTGGTGTGTCTACACATTGCAGCAACAGGAGCCGATCACCCCTTCTTCCCAGAGGTACGACGCAGCCCTGCTTTACATTTAAAAGTGCAGTGGCAAATGAAGCTCACCTCACTGCAATTTCAGGTGGATATCAAGCCAAATCACCTTCATGACTCCATCCAAAGCCTCAATATCTCTCAGGTAGAACAGGAATTGGAAATCGCAACACAATCTAAATCATTTCGCTGGCTATATTGCACATATGCTTCCTCCATAACCAATTGTTTGAAACATGTAGGCTTTCTATTTGCAGCTCTTCCTGTCAGTGCCAGTTGGTGTTGGCCAGGTGTACGGCTGCGACAGTCCTTGGGCAGGAGGGCTCATCCTTCTGGCCCTGCTGCTTTCCTCACCAACTATCTGTTTCCACGCCATGTTGGGCTCAGCGGCTGGCACCCTGTCTGGTATAGAGACTCTCTCATTTGCATAGAGATGTGCATAATTTCTGCTGCAGTTTGAGTGACAATGTTGGCGCTTTAAATAGAACCATGGCATTGTTGTGAATAACCCATCTCATTTCTCTTTTTTACATAACGCTGTATAGCCTGTGTATGTTGACCTGATTTTTTTAAGAACCTGACATTTTTGCATTTGTCTCTTTGTAAATAACAAATTCAAATCCTGAGCTTGTCTCTCGTGTGTGGTACAGGACTTGCTCTGGCAGCTCCTCACAAGGACATTTTCTCAGGGTTGTGGGGATATAACAGTGCTCTATCCTGCATTGCCATTGGAGGTGTATTCTATGTCTTAACATGGCAAACCCATCTACTAGCTGTAATATGTGGTGAGATTTACAAACATCATGAACACTATCCTGCTTTACTTAAAATGTTTTTTTTTAATTAAAAATCAAAAAAATGTTTCTCCCAAGCTCTTTTCTGTGCATTCATGACTGCTGCGACCTCAAACCTGATGTCCATGGTATGTCAGAAACTTTGCCCCAGACTCAAACTCAAAAAACATCATCTGACCACCCAGATGTCCCTAATATCTTGTGTCACACTCTCCTCTCCTTTGACATCCCCTTTCAGCTCGCATTACCGGCCTGCACGTGGCCTTTCTGCCTGTCAACTCTCATCTTCCTCCTCATTTCCTCTGAGATCCAAGCCATCTGCAGACTGCCTCTGTCTGTGGTCTCCTACCCCGAGGAAAATCGGCGCTACCAGAGACAATTAAAGGCCTTGCAGAAAGCTCAGCACTGTCAGCAGAGCAGCAGCCAAAAAGAGGCCCAGCAGAGGGAGAAAAGTGGGCCAAATGTCCACTTGGTGGTGGAGATGGGCTGCAGTGAGTGAATCTATGTCTTGCCATAAAGAGGCTCCTAGTCCTAACCTTTGGGGCAGTTAAATTCTCAGAAATTAAGGAACAATATGGATATATACATATTTTGGCATTTCCTATCTTGCATAATATTTGTTATATAAAATGGCTGGCATTGCATCGGATAAATAGAACTTATTTTCTTATTCAACACGGCTTGTCATACCAGCAGAGGGCAGCACTATCCAAGAAAAGATAGAGTCGCTGTTGTATCACATAAATCTATTAATACTGAGGAAAGAACATCAATTTTGAATGCAGGGATACATTTATGTAAACTATCATTGTAAGCAATAATATAAATCATTTTGCATGGAGTCTTGTGATGTAACAGGAAACAGAACTCACTTGAGCTTTAGTGGTTTCTGTGAGATACAGACAATGAGCCTTAGAGGAGATTTTATGAAGCGCTCCCCCAGCAAAAACACCCTCTTCTCTGCCAGGCATAATCCATCAATGCCTTCTGTGCTCAAATCTGTCCTATTGTTTCCTCTAAATTTTCTTATCTCCATTTTGACTTCTTGCTGTGCCCCAGTTTGACATGCTTTTCTAACCCCCCTTTGTAGCGTCTCTACCTCTTCCTCCTTTCCTCTTTCTTTATCAGTATTCATCACCTCTTTCTTTGAGCAAACCCTTTCTCCTTTTTCTCTTAAGCAAGAACATTCTGATCTCTGTGAAAAGAAGCTACTAGGACGTAAGCTCATAAAAAAAAAAAAAACATATACAACCCTGCCTGGGTCTGTCTGCATTTATATTAACATTTAGAAAATAGTGTGTCATTATTGCCATCTGCCTGTCTAGTTATCTGGAGCACAGAGGTACAAGGCTGCAGTCTAGCCAGTGCTACACATAACAGTCACACTCCCAGACATGTGTGGGTGCTGCAGTACATCGGGGGAGAAGGTGTGAGACGAGGGTAGGGAAAGGAGTTGAAAATGAGACACCTCATCATCATGCCTGGTGATAAAATATGACTTGTTATGACAGATTCTTGAAGTGTAATGTGCCTTTTTTGTCATACAATTCAACCCCAAAAATCCAAATCATTTTTACTTAATAGTCTGAAAGCAGAACAGAGGAAACTCTCCTCAATTCTCCATTATTGTTTTCTATTATCCAATCTAACCTGGAGGTTAAAGTGACCTTACAAGGTGGGTTTGCCTGTGGTCTTTTTACGAAACGTTGATTCATTCGTTGACCTTTGAAGGACAGGATAAGTGCGGGTAGAGGGATGGTGCGAGCTGAGGTGGTGTCACTACCCCTGTGTCGGTGTCGTGTGCTCACAGCAGTGTGATTCACCTTCCTAAGTCCACTGCAGGTGGTGCCCACTGTTCCCACAAAACATAGCAGAGTAGAAAGAGGGATGGGGCTGACAAAGCCTTGCCACACAGTCACACAAACCTTGATGCATGCAGAGACTGTTTGTCTACTTCTGTGTCTGTCAGTGAAGAATAGCAAGTCCTATATAACAATATTGGCTGGGGTATTTTATAACTGCTGGTGATTATGGATCTGTATCAAGACAAAGATATCAGCAGCACTAACAATGGGGAAAAGGGAACTGTATTCAGAATGATCCAATTGTGTACAAGTTGATGGATCTGTCATTTATCCACAAAGTTAAAAGAGAGGATACAGATGGATCAGATTTGACACAGTGTCATTACATAAAAGGATACTGTTGGCATTGGATTTCTGTTATATATTCCTAAATATGTTTGATCCATTTTGCATAAGCATGACAAATGTGGCTAAGGGCATCAATGGGTTTTTAGAAAAGATCTGAGGCATTAAGCATACAAATGTACACAAAGGACCATGTTACGTAAGATTCTCTGACTGGTTTGTCAGAGAATCTTACATAACAATGTTAGTAAGAAGCCTAATCTGTTGCAAATTCATGAATGGGTTTATATGAGCTACCGAACAATTGGCTATCACAGATCGCCTATTCATCTCCCTCCAACAATCACCACAGATGCTTCAACTTGATACGCTTTCTAACTGTGCATGCTTACATTTGAAGTATTGCATGAAAGGCTTGAGTGTAATAGCCATGCATATAGAGTAAACCATTTAAATCAGCAGTCAGATGAAACTCAGGCAAGCAATCAGCTACCCTTAAATGTGCTGGTGTTTAGTGGTGGAGAAAAAAAAACAGCTTTGGGGATTTATTTTAGATTCAGAAGGGAAAGGTTGCCAACAGGAAATGTGCAAAATGTGGAAAAACAGCAGATAGACTTAGATAATGTAAGTTACAGCTAATATGCACACTTTCAAATCATCGTCCAATGCATACTCTCAGACAAAGTGTGCAGAGGCTGGCTGACTTTTAGCAGTTGTCTATGGTTCAGTTCCTAGTCAAACCCTCAATCAGTGTCATTGTTAACATGTAAATCATTGGTTAAAGACCTTCCATCCACCTTCCATTGCACAGTATTAGATATCTGTTCATTATATTCTTTGCTTGAATATTACCACTTTATAAACCTGACCTATAGTGTACACACTGTACTGTTAGGTCACAGCTGCTTAATGTACACATAATATGTCACAATTTCTGTAACTCCTATTTCTACCTGCAATGTTGTTCATATTTCAGTGTATTCATAATAAAGTTGAACTGAATTTGACCAGTTTTTAATTTGTGTATTGGTTAGATGTTGTACAGTATTTCATTTTGCACCTCTTAACCTCTGTTCAATTCAAATAAAGTGGAACCTAAATGACATTACAGGAGTTTATGTTTCTGCATTTTTTTCCATTCAAATTAAAAAAAATCTGATTTTACAGTCTGCTTTTAATGATGTAGATTTGTTGAGTATAGTTAGTTATTCATTTAATTTACAGCTTGTGTAGATAGCTAACGTGTAGAGATTCAAACTGCAGATGTTACAGTTACAGTACAGGTGGAACATAATGTCAACTTTAAGATGGCACTGGAGGAAAGGTCAGAGCATCAGCAAATTTTTGTCTGAAAAAGAATGTCTGGCCCACATGTAGTTAAATATCCAAACCCTTCACACAGCAGCAAATGCCATTCACCTGTATCTCAGGGTCAACATTACAGGGACATCCGCAGCCAACCGCATTTACCTGCTTATTACAGCCACGTTAAAGGAACATCAAAATTAACAGCAAAATTAGGAATAATTCCCCTGAATCTCAATGTCTCAATGAACTCACCTGTATCACGTGAAGGTCCTCGTCAGCGTCCCCTGTTCTCCACTAGAATAGCCCTCCTGTTGCACACCTATCAAAACTTTTTCCTCCTCCTCTTCATCAGGTGCTTGCGGTCCGACATCTTACAAAACGAGCCTCGAATTTTATTTCATTTTCATCTTCACCTTGTCACTTTCCTGGCTCTTTAATATTCAGTTCAGTTCAGTTAGTGAGTCCGTCAAACTCGTCAAACTAACTTTTAGTTTAACTCGTTTCCCACTTGACCTATGACATCATCTGGACGGATCCACTTAAACGGGGGGGGGGGGGGGGGGTCAAAAGGTCTGCCTCCCTGCACCTTCTTACAGGTAAGAGAGGCTGTTGACATTGCGGGAATGTAGGCATTTCCAACAGGCAAAAAAAGAGCTGAAAACCCCATAGAACAGTACACCGGTGATAAGTCATAATTTGTAGATACAGAGTTGGAAACATGAGTGTAAAAAAGAATAATATAATATATGAGTGTACAAAAGAATAATATAATATATGAGTGTAAAAAATAATTATATAATAATATATATATTATATAATAATATATATATAATAATAGTATATATAATTGCATATCTTGCAATTTTGACATTCTATATCATTATTACTAATTTTAACACATTTGTATGACTGATGTGGCTTATATTACGTAGCTAATCCTATGTAAAATACTTTATAAAAATGAAAACTTTTAAAACCGTCCATTCCATTTTCAACAATTAATGCCATATGTATGACTTTTATTGTCATGATTTTGACATTCTACCTCAAATTTCTCACGATTAAGTCTGGCAATCATTTTTGAATTATGTGCATGCCTCTACATTTTCCGCTCATTTTTTGCTTTTTGTCAAAAACAGGCTTCTAAAATACAAAATGACAGGCCAAAAGGAAACCAACGGGCTGAAATTGCTGCAGATGTCCCTAAAATTCTTTAAGTTTTAAAATTTTACTTGGAGAGGTCTAGATTTAAGACCCTTGTTCTCTCGATGATAACAGACAGGGTCCGCAAGGTCTTTACTGAGGTAATCTGCTTCTTAGTTACGTGCTTATTTCTGTATCTTTTACATAAGAGTTGGCAAGCATGTTTGCATTTATTGATTGATGTTTACACAACATCCCTACACATGGTTGAATAATATGGAGATGGATTACAATGGATTACAATTAGCCTAAATTTGATTACCAAAAGGAAATAAACACATTTTTACTCATAAAGTCAGAACAAACAAAACAAAGCTATTACAGATTTTAGTTGCATCTTTTCGCAAAAGAACAAACAACACCATAAAAACATTGAAGGCAACATGTAAGCTCTCCACCTTCCCGCCCCCTGACAGCTTGGTCCTTTAATTAGAGTTATCATCTCTGAGACTGACAGTTAACTTTGTCTGTGTTTCTGTGAGAGAGACACAGCTTGAATGTGTGAACACCTTGTCCATACAGAGTCAGACTGTTCCCGTGGGCAGGAAGAGTGAGCGCTGTGTATAAGAGCCTGCTCTGATTCACCCTCTCCTGCTCAATCTGTGAATAGCATGTAAGAGCTTGCGATCTGGCGCATGACGCTCCGGGCTCGACATGTTTCAAACCAAATATGTCTGCTGTTTCCTGTAAGACGAAAGGAGAATCCACAGGAAACTCCATCCCTCATTGGTTGTTCAAGGAAGCACAGCAGAGGAAGTGTTTCCATGTATGTGCACCCTCTGACACTGGTTTCCGCACAGCTCCACTGCCAGCTACACAGTCGATGCTGTGGAGGAATCTGGTACTATGATCTGGAAATAGATATAGTGACTATATAGTGATTTTTCAATGGGAGTAAAAGCAGCTTCTGAACGGATGACTTGCTTGGTTTCATTTTCAAAAAAACAGTGACCTTCATATGGTGATCATTTTTATGATTTTTATATGTACATATTTTTATATGAATATGTGGGTTTGTTGGATATTCCTAGATGTTTTATTAACTCCAAACAAGCACTCATACTGTTACCCTGTTGCTTCTCTTTGAAATCTTATGGGTAAGGAAATGCACATGTGATTATTGGGTGGAGGAGGGGGTCAGAAAAGACGGAGGGTTCTCTTTCTGATACCGAAGAGAGAGGCATTTTGTCAGAGACTATTTAACCTTTCAATGTCTGCTTTTTCCTTCCTGTTTCAATGTATGACTAGAAATAGAGCCGTGCTGTTGTATGCCTCCGCAATACAGTCAAGTTGCAGTTTTTAACCGTGATTGTTGCTCCTGCCAGGACAGTGGAAATATATTTTGTGTTGAAATTCTTTAAAAGATCACATTGCTAAGCAGTAGGTCTACATTCATCTATTTTGGCAGATTTGGATGATCAGAACCGGATTTTGGTATCGGATTTGTTCTGGTACTAATGGTATCATTCTTCAGAATTTCAGCAAGCTTTGGCTGTACCCAGAACAGGTGTGTGTGTAGAGAAAATGAGGCCGAATTAAATAATCCTTACTTCAATCTAGACATCAATAGTCATTTAACAACAGTTTGTGTTTAATTAACGTCTTTAAATTTGAGAAATAAAAGCAAAAAGATGCAGCTTGTCATTTGTAACTCTAATCCTTCTTCTCAAGTTGTTAGATGATGCCTGATTGGTTCTGAGATTGGGCCTAAAATTACAGCAGGAGAAGTTACACCACAATCCGCAGGTAGGACATTACCCCAAAGACCCTCTCACTTTCTCATGAGTTTCTGTGAATGACTGAGTGTGTGGAAAAACCAGAATGATCAGGTATGGGAGGTGAGATTGTCAAACAATTGTTTGCATTAGGTGAATGAATCAAAAATAACATTTAAGATGGAACTGGCATGACCTTGACCTTTGATCAATAACATCGTATAAGATCATACTTGTGTTTAAGCGGACATCTGTGCCAAATTTCAAGAGGTGTTACAGATCGCTTTTGTGCACAAGAATGGGACGGGAATGGCAGCAAGAAAAGTGTGGTCCAAAAAAAGTCACAGTTTACTTGACATCAGAGCATAGTAAGAAATATCATCATGTTATCAAATATACGTATGTGGGAAATTGTGTAGAAACATAAAAGGTGAACTATTGAATTATGGCCAAAATCATCCTTTGGGAAATGGTGACCTTTGAAAAAAATTGGTTCATTCAGTCCAAAGGGACATTGGAGCCGCATTTAAAGAACTCTCTACGGGTAAACTTAAAATATGTTGTTCAGAATGAGACAAACAGATACCTAAGTCGAAGTCGAAGATAGGTTGATGGGTGGATGCCTGGATGTTTACACCTAAAACCGCTTTGTTCAAGTTTACATGTTTTCTCTTCCAGGAAAACGATCGTCATCAGATTTTGATTAATCATTACAAAGAAGTTGATTTATCCTCGTGTTTTTGCATATCTTGATTAATATCTGAAAAATGTTACAGGGAATATGCACATCGTGGTGTTTAAAATCTACATAGAGCACAAACATCTAACAAACTATCAGTATGTTACATAACTGCTATTAGTGCAATAATTCAAGTTAAGGACAACAGCAGACAGGATTGTGTTTATTATTCATCACATATGCACATTCATTTATTAGCAATCAGTCAAAAACCGATTATCTGGAATTATCAGCTGACAGGTAGATCATTATTTAAGCTGATTCCACCCCTAATGTTTGATTAGTCTTTGGAAAAAGTATTGCATCCCTTCCATTCTTAACTTGAAAACAGAGCTAAATGATAATGGGTAAGGGATTTTATTTCTTCACAGTAAAATAATATATAATAATAATCTGTTATTACTCTGGTCCATGCTGTAATAGTTGTTGTACAGTCACTGTTAGGAACTTAGAATCACTGTCAAAAGATTTTGATTCCTGTTCTGGCAGTCTGTATCCTTCACTGAGCGCTTCTGAGGTGATATCAGACATTTTCACCAGAGGAAAATCATTTAACACTTCGCAAACAACACATGATTTTTTATTTTTTTTTACACGTTCACTTACATAACTTAAGGGTAAGTTGCCCTCTCCTTCACACAGATGTTTGCTGTTGGTTATTAAGTGGCTCATTTTTATTGCTTTGTAATTACCGTCAGTAAAGTGTGAAGTTGCTATGCAGAACTGCAGAGGTGGATGCATTTAAATGAACACCTGCACAGTCTAATGTAGTCAGGAATCATTAAAATAAATACTGCATCTGTAAAGCCTGGTGACCTTTGCTGTGAAAAATCCATTAACGGAACGAACAAGGTAATTTCAGCTTCAGGAGACAAACCGCGACACATTTAGAGTGCAGGTCAATGGCTGTTTAGAAGGTTGGAATTTGTCCTACTTTCTTTTTATACTCTTTTCAATTTTCACACATTTTCTCACATTTTCTCCACAACCACTAGTTACTTTTCAAAAGTATGAGTTGATGTGTTATTCACTTGGTGAAAGCAAGTGAGACAATCAGGGATAAGATTCACTATTTCTTTAATTATTTTTAATGCCTGTTACAGATGGCACCAGGTCCATTTCTGAGAAGGCAATAATACCTTGTTTACATTTAGTTCAAGACAGATTTACACTTTCTTGTATGTTTGAATGTTTAAGACGGCAGGATACGATTTAAGTTCAGACAACATAACTTATGCATGTACGGGACAAAATGAGAAAAGAGATAAGACTTATCCTTTTCTGTCACTGGGGTCACTAAGATTAACACACACACACAAATTCCCCATGTAGCTTCAAAAAAAAGTTTACAGGGTATTTCATGTTTCATTTCTATGTATTTCACACATATATAGTTATATAGTTGTACCTTTCAGGTCACCATTTAAAAATAAAAATATCTTAAGATGATGAAACATACAGCATTGTAAAGATACAATCAGTAATAACTTGTATTTGTAATATGTTTAAAAAGTTACAATTTCAGATGAGTGCTCAACAAGGATTCTGCCTCTTAAAGGAACTTTCCTTGAAACTTAAATGTTGCTTAGTGCTGTTCTCGTGGTGGATTAATACTGGGTCTTTGTAACTAATATAACAAAGAGTAAGGTTTGGACTTGTTCTTTTTTGTGTGTCTTGAGATCATATTTGTGATAAATTTGCGCAATACAAATACAGATTGATGGATGGATTGATTGAATAGTTACCAGGGCTATTTTGCATTAAGAGGAGGCTACTTTAGCTTTTAAATACTTGAAGTACATCTTCTTGAAAGTCCTTCTGTTTTCACCTGAGTAAGATTTCAAATGCATTACTACTCACTTTAATTTGGGCAAAGTGAAAGATAATATACTGACACCTTTGCTGGTGCTATCTTTAGATGCATTCAACTGTGCAGACTGTGTTATGCAAACACTTATTGATCATTTAAGTCTTCACAGCTCCTCCACATCTCCCAGTTTACATTGGCACTTGGGTACCACTGTTGAATCATTGCTGAAAATAGCTCTCCTTAAGTGACCCTGTGGATACATTAAAATAAAAGGTAGTTTAAGTCCATGCATCCTCTCATCCACAGCAGTGTTTTTGTAACATTAATATTCAAACCTTGTGGGTCCATGTCGTGTCCTTAAGATGAACAGACAGCCACTTAAGGGACATGGGCTCCATCACTTCACAAGTGTCTGCCTGGAGGTTGTCTGGGCAGCCAGCTGAATCTTTTTTTTTTTTTTTTCTAATATGTCTGGTTGTTCTGTTCTGTTCTGTCTGTCTGTGAAGAAAAAAAACTCTCTGCTTCTGTGTCGTGACTGTCTGCTTAGCCCTGCCTTCAAGAACTCCGGAAACCTGCCCCCGAGATGGAGAAGAAGGCTGCAACATCCGCGTGATCATCGCCGGAGCACCAATGGCCTCTCGCGGAGAACAAGTGAGGACACCGGTATCCCCTGCCGCGCGTGAGGAAATGGGCGGGCCCGGGGAAAGCTCTGTCACGCTGCGTGGGTGGGTGAGCGGATAGTAGAGGAGCTGCAGCGGCGGTATATAAGAGAGAGGCGAGGAGAGCTCAGGCAAGACGGACGAAGAGCCCGGCGCAATATAGCAAAGAGATTTCAGCACCAAGCGCGACTGGACAGCGACACTTAGCCCAAAACTAAACAACAAACTTGAACTTGAAGCAGCAAACATGGTTCTCATCTGGACTCAGTTCGGTGTCAAGCACAAAAATGTCAATGTCAAGTGCAAAGTGCGAGTTATGCATCGAGGTGACAGCTCGGGATCTTCTTCATCAGCGGTAAGTACAAGTTTTATTTCTTCTTTTAAACTGATTTATTCTTTTTTTTTTCTTTTTATTAACAAACGTTTAAATACTAGTCGAATAGTCAAAGACATAAAGTTGAAAATGTCCAGAATAAGTTGTATATAACTAAATACAAATACATGTTTGTTATATAATTAAACTGGCAGACCTGAAGCAGTGTTTATTATTCATTATTGACTGATTTCTCCGGCTATGTGTTCATTCACGTGCAAGATAGGCGTTCAGCCAATCGCTGCAGAGAATCTCAGTCGTTGGGGGGAAGTCTTTTTCCCCCTCTCACGATTCCCCAACACACCACTTCACCCTCTCACGTTGTGTTCAGCATCAGCTTATAAAATGCAATGCATGATCTGCAGCAGCACAGAGATAAGGGTGTTTTCCCACAGAGTGTCCCTGCTGGAGGGCTGAATTTGTGCATATTAATAGCAACTGAGCATCAATGTGTGAAAAGGATGCCCAGTATATGAACCATGCAACTGTATTTCATGTGCTTAAGGGGATTAATATAATTATAGGATTTTAAGTTATTCATAAGCAGCCATTTTGCACTGAGGATGTCTATGCAACTTTTCTTTTCTTTTCTTGTTTTTTTTTTTATGAATGCATTCATGAAAAGCAAAATGGTCTAATGCCTTTTTGTTCTTTCTTCCAACAGGAAGGTACCAAGTCAGAGCAGGACACGCCCTGCCTGTCAATAAAACCAACAGGCAAAGACTTCTACAAAGTCCTGGGCGTCTCCCCTGATTCCAACGAAGATGAGATCAAGAAGGCCTACAGGAAGATGGCCCTCAAGTTCCACCCCGACAAGAACAGCGACGCCGACGCAGAGGACAAGTTCAAAGAGATTGCAGAGGCCTATGAGATCCTCACTGACCCCAAGAAGAGAAGCATCTATGACCAGTTTGGAGAAGAAGGTGAGAAACTGTTCATTTAAACGAGTTAAACAGCTCAAATAGTTGCTGCCAGAATGATAATTACTAAAGCAAAGGCTGGTACATTAATTATTCATGTCTTCATCAAGGCAAAATAATAATGTGCAGAGGGAGGATCACGACTAAAACACTTTCACTCCAATTAAATCAGATATGTTTGGCATAAACAGCTGTGAGGCTGATGAATTATTCAGGGAGCAATGAAAGAGTTTTCCTCAAAACTCCTTAGACTGATTTTAATTCAACTTTCTAGAAAGAGTGGAATAAAGCAGTTTTTAAAGATGTTGTCTCAACTTGTTTTCTTTCTCTTTTTCTCTATAGGCCTTAAAAGCAGGATGTCAATGTCAGGCCAAAGCAACGTTTTCCGCAATAACTTCCATGGTGACCCCCATGCCACCTTCTCCTCCTTCTTCCACGGCTCCGACCACTTTGACATCTTCTTCGGCCCAGACGGTGAGGGCGAGGACGAGCTCTTCAACCCCTTCAGACGCTTCACCTTCACCCACGTGGGCGGGTCCGCCGGCTGTGAGGGCGGCCTAAGAAGAGGCCAGCGGCGGCTGCAGGGGAAAGAGATGGTCCATGACCTGCTGGTGACCCTGGAGGAGGTGATGCAGGGCTGCACCAAACATGTGAAGATCAACCGGCGCCGCCTCAACCCGGATGGGCGTAGCATGCGATCTGAAGACAAGGTGCTGAACGTGGTGGTGAAGAAAGGCTGGAAGGCGGGGACCAAGATCACATTCCCCAGGGAGGGAGACGAGACGCCAAACAGCACCCCAGCAGACATCACCTTCATCCTCAGGGACAAGGAGCACACACAGTACAAGAGGGAGGGCTCCAACATTGTCTTCACCGCAAAGATCACCCTCAAAGAGGTGAGTTTGATTCATTGACATCAAGGTTAAGGGTCAATTGGGTTTAAGAGTTTGAGCCACAGAGTCCTGACAACATGAATGATTTATTTCGAAACATGGGGCTGCTCTATAAGTAGAAATACTATGTCATTTATCAGCTGCTAACACCAACTTACAAAAAGGCTTGAGTCCAACCACCCTTTCCATCTTTTACATAACTGTGGAATGATGGCATGATCGATTTCAGAAAGGCGTCAATAAGACATAGCCAATAAGAAGCCAAATATCAGGGAGGGTTTCTGTCTTTGAATGCAGTCCTAGGACAGATTGCAGTGTTCAGTTTGGGGTACAGAGTTTTCCATTGGCTAACAGACCCCCACTAACAGAACAGCAGCAGCAGCCTGCCAACACCTCGGTTACCTCATCAGCCCCTGCAGAGGGCGATGGAGCAGGAGCTAAATTTAGACTCAGCTCCGACTGCCCCCACGAATCACACTTCACTCTCCCTCTCCACCACTATATGTGCTGCAGACTCCTCTGCCTTAACAAGGCAGGCAGAGAGGCAGTTTTTTGGCTCACTATGTCTCTGGCTCTCACTTCAACCAACCCACACACAGATTAGCAGGGCAGCAGTCACAGAGGCTGGCATTTCAAAGAGCTCCTCCATCTTCCTGTGGCTCTTTTCAGTCATTGAAGCACTTAACTCCCACACACATGCAGAAAATAGGCCAGCGATTCTAACATCTGTAACACCGGTTTGTTACACAACACAGAACAATGGCTGTGCTTTTTTTAAAGGCAGACGCTCCATATTTATCAGTTATGTAACTTGACACATTTCAAGACCTGGCATTTAATTGATTTTTTTTCATTGTTCCAAGTTGTGCTTCTGCCCAGTCAGAGAACTCAGGAGCCATTATGAAACTATTTCTAAATATAACACGTCCACATAACTAAATTTCTCCTCCTTTTTCTCCCCAGGCTCTCTGCGGCTGCACAGTTAACGTCCCAACAATCGACAACCGAATGATGCCTCTTCCATGCAGCGATGTGATCAAACCCGGTGCTGTACGGCGACTCAGGGGGGAAGGTCTACCCCTGCCCAAGAGCCCTTCCCAGCGAGGCGACTTGGTGGTGGAGTTCCAGGTGCTCTTTCCTGACAGGATCCCACCACAGTCCCGTGAGATCATCAAGCACAGCCTAGGCCAGTGCTAGCCCGCTTTATCTACTAATGCAGCTTCACCATGCGTGTATGTTGTTATCAATTTACAAACACAGCCTTGCCCAAGGTGCTAAAATCACAACCACTCACAACCTCTTATTGTGTTTGGATAAGGCAGGCAGCGCTTTGGTGAGTTGTAGCTTATATAGGTGGTGACTCTCAGCAGGCACGATGCACAACTACTACGATGCCAAACGAGAGGACAGAGGTCAGATCAATGAATGGGGTCTTTGGTATCTGAGGGCGTCCATTGACTCTACAGCCTTTCACTTGAATGAAAAGCTTACATGTACTGTTATACTTGCAACCCTATAGCAGGATATCAGTGTGCTATTCAAGTCTGTATAGACTTCCTTAAACCTGAACGGTATAAAAAAATGTGAAAAAAAACCCTTTTTATTATATATAGTTATATGGTGTTCATATGACTGATCTTTTGCATTGATTTATTACAATAGCAAAATGTACTTGTGTGCAAAGACCTACTTTGTGTACAAAATGCAAACAAATTGTCTCTAAGAGAGATTCATCTGTCAAATGTTCTATTGAATTATTTGAAATGTTTGTATATACTCTGCAGCATTGATGTGCTATTATTACTACCTGATAGAGACATGTTTGAAAGCATGGAAATAAAGAAAAAAATGAAATTTAACTTGGGATCTTCACTGTTTATTTCAAGCAGAAACATTCATATTTTGCAAAAGATAAGAAGACAAAAGTCTTCAAAAATAATAAATAAGTGGACTGGGAGTTGCACAAAGATAACTCCCAGTTTGCTTATGGGGTATCTAAAAAGGATCGGTCCAAGCAATGAACCTTGTGGAACTCTTTGACTCACTTTAAACTTAGTGCTGTGCTCTTTGTGCAAACCTTACATTTCAACCACTTAAAAAGTTAAGTTAAAGTCCCTGTAAAGTAAAATCAGCAATACATCTCCAAGCACGCTAAATATGTTGCAAGGTAGCTTTAAAAACAAACTGTATAGGTGGAATACAAAAGTAAAGTATAAAAGGTGGATGTTCTCAGTAAACGATGTAAAAATACTACAAAAGTCCTCAAATAAGTAGTCAAGTAGAGTTCCACCAGCAAAGAAAGATGGACAACAAAAGACAACATAAACCTATGTGGGTTTACCACATAACTCTAACTCAAACTATATAAGTGGACTCACGAGTCCTCTTAAAATACAAAAATCCACAGCAAACCATACATGTGAACTATAAGTCACACATAAACTATATTCAAAAGTCCTCAGCAAACTCTAGTGGAATACAAAAGTTCAGAAAACCGTATGGACGGACTAACTTGCAAAACTATCGAACATTGCAGTCCAACAAAAAAAAAAAATTCAGAGCATGAAATCATCACTGCAGATAGATGCAGTGATGCAGAATTCTGGCCACCTACTGCCATCTAGCGGTCATTGCATGCGGTGACTTTTTACACTTAATAAGACGCACCTGTTGATCTGTAATCCATGCGGCTGCCTTTCAACGTCGTCTCACGGCAAGCCTTTCCTTTGCAAACACTGACAGTCTGCAATGATGAAGTCAAGGGTGTTAAAAGAAAACATACTCATTTGGAGACTGTTTACATTGGAGAAGCAGACTGGCATGTTGATTTTGGATGGGGGGGGAAATAAGCTACTGTCAAACACATAGGCCTAGTCCACATTGATTGACACAGCAGCCCACCTGTGTATGCAGACACAACGTGAAATCTCAGTTGAGATCAGCAATTCTCCAAAAAGCCTTTTTTATATCCTCTATGGGATGAAATGTCGCAGATAAGTCAGACAACAGCAACAGATCTGCCTGAGGGTTACCCTGTGACAAACCTAACTATAGTGGTCCTTTTGCTCATACCCTTTGTGGTCATTTTGCTGCTGCTGAATTGCCTGTTTCTGGGCTACAAGTTTCTGATCCTGTCAAAGAAGAACAGCAGACACATGCGAGAGGACACAGAGCAGATGCTTTTACAGTCCACCCTGCAAAGAGTCAGAAGACTATCCGATGCGGGTTTCCCCCCGCTGCACGACGGGAGGAGAGCGTACATGTCTCTATCGGAGCCCGTCTTGCCACATCCCGTCACCTCATCCCGGGCTTCTTCCAGGGAGAGGGCCAGCAGGCTGGATCACATGATCCGGCTTCTGAGGCCAGACGGTGCCACCGGTTCAGGGTCCCTGAGGGCGCCGAGCACCATCCGGGCCACTTCAACCGCGTCTGGGTTCACCCCAAGACTGAACCTGGCCTCTGGCTCAACACGGACTTGCAGCGTCAGTAAAGCTGGCTGGTGCAAAAGTGCTCCAGTGTTGCCGCAGTCCAGCGATTCAGAGGCTGAGACCAGAGTGAACCTGGTTCCGCCAAACTCTCCAACGGTGAGTGGTCATGTAACTCAAGTTAGGGACATTTTGAAGTTTTTGCTCGTTGGATATCCACTCAGTAACTTCAACAGGAACGGCCGAAAATAACCTAAATGTGAGCCACTCTTTAGGCTTACTAACGGATTGTAACAAAGACCAAACTCTAGGCCAGTGATACTGATATAAGATAAAGTCAACCGCATGGCCGGATAAACATATTCGGGGGTCAGAGGGCAAAGGTTGTTCTGCTGTCCCAGGGCAACTGTAAGCTTGGCCTGGTACCAAATCCTATTGTATCATGCTGAATAGTCAACAGAAGCAAAACAGTTGTTGTATTTTGTAAATGTTAAAGCATTGATTTTCATTTTTCTTTTGTTGCCTAAATATACACAAATGTGGTGGTCAAAATAGAAATGTTGTATCTTGAAGAGATATTAACACTTACTCTAGTAAATCTAAAGAAATTACTGTGAATTTTCATTAATCATCTCAGCTTTCACTTATGCTCTCTGACATCTCTGTTGCAGAAGCTCTCCTCACTGTTTTTGGGTCTCCAGAGACCACAACCTTAATGTCAACCGAAGAACCTAAATCCACTTTGAGGCATAAAGTCAATTTGAATCCTGGTCCAAAATTTGAGGTCTTTATGTTTTGCTTTGTTCGCAGCAGGAGACAATAAATGGAGGTCACGTTCAACGCAGCAGTACTTACGACAGGCTGACGGGTCTGAGCCCGGGTGTTGCGGTTCACGTGTTTGACAAAGTGGACATGGAGTGCGAGTTCATCAACGTGCCTTTAGAGACGTCCTGTGTGAACACGTCTGCAGTGGGTCCTGGACTGGACAGCGACTTTGGTGCCAGTGCAGGTATGCTTCAGTCTGCGGCAGCTGCACTGTAGTCAATGTGGCCGTCATTCATGAATAATGTTTTACTGCTGCAGCAAACTGACAAAATGTAAAAGAAAGAGGGGAACAGTACGATGGAGCTTGTACATCAGTGTTGATAATCCACACAGATTTAAGCCAGTGAAGAACTAGGAGGTAGAAGGTAGTTCAACCAGTTTATAGTGACATCTTATTAAGCACTGATAAAAAATGACTGCTTCAGGACTTTAACTTAAGAAAGAGGGGAACAGTACGATGGAGCTTGTACATCAGTGTTGATAATCAGCAAACACATGAAATGGTACACATAGAAACATAATTTCCGCTTAAGTTTGGTATCATAGCCCCAGAATAATCAGGAAAACTGATCAAATTGTTCTTACAGCGAGTCAAAACATTTTGTCATCTGTGATATAAATGCGTGCTATGCAAAAGTATAAGTCACTCTACAGTATTTCCCTGGAAACGTGTCTACTTTGCATTGTCATGGTTGGTTGCAAAAGCTTAAAATACTAACAGCTAGGTAAAGTTTAGTTTATTAGTTTATTTGATTCAGGGACAGTGTACAAAGAAAACATTATTCTCAGAAGAGGAGAGGTGCTTTGTAACAGATTTAGCTAACTATCTTTTTCGATCTGTCAAGAATAAAATACAAATCAACCATTTCATAAGAGAGAAGAAAGACATAAAGGAACCACTTTCACTCACAGAGCAATTCAAGTCCCACTCTGTTTAGATATTTGATCTTCAGCGTGCAGATCGATTTATGCAAGAGTGATGTGGAAATCCGAATCCTTCAGTTCATTTACAGTGTTGACTTCAGTTTCACAGGCAGCTTGTCCAGCAGTTAGATATATTTAAATAATCAATTATGTGGTTGTGGAAAATGGTTATGTTTATTTGAAGATATTTTAACTAGTCTGTTAAGTGTAGTGATAAACAGGATTTTTCTTCTTAGGATTTAATGAAGTGTCTCAAGGGGATCTTTTAAACATTCGTGATTTCTTTCCAGGAGTGTCCCTACGGATTCTGTCTGCAGACAGTGACGGCCTGTCTAACGGGGTTCTGGCTTCAGCTTTGGAGTGGGATTATTACGACCCGTGCTACGTCAAACAGAATAATCTACCCAAACACAAACACCACAGACCTGCGATGCACACTAAACAGTACTGGGTGTGATTCGTCGCAGCTGTCGGTGTTAGAAGTACTTTTAATGTTTATTTTATAACTTTATTTATTCAATTTAAATAACATGTATGTTTTATTTTATTGAATGCTAATTTATTTGTTTGTCTCACTGATAATCACTGAACTGACACACTTTAAACATTTATTATTTTATTATTAAAACACTCTGCCACTGACTTTGTTCAGTTAAATATTTGCAATTCACCCTCACTTTAGTTCTTGTTATATTTGGTATGCACTTCGTCACTCCTGTTGTTGTTAGTCACCGTTATACAAACAGGGATTATGACTCATTCCTTGATTTCAAGAACACACATTCACCATAGTTGTTTCACTGATATTTTTTTTGAAAGGTTTTTGAATCACGTTGAACAATAAAGATTTATTGAAAGTGTAGAAGTGCTTGATTATACTAAGTTTATCATTAATATAATGTTTTTCCAATGGCAGGAAAATATTTGCATGGTTGGATATCAAGACACCTTCAGAGCCTCTGATTCAGCCATGTGTTATTCTTCACCAGCAGGGGGCTCTGTGTGGTTGGTGCTAATGTTCTGATAGTCTTTGCTGTAAACTTGTATAAAAAAGGGACAGCAGTTACCCAGACTTTTTGCACACTGTGGGATATGAAGGAGTTATAAATAAAAACCAGAAGCAGGAAGCACTGCTGCTCCAGGATGGTATATTAGAGACATGTGTGGCCAAAGGTTTACAAAAAAGACATTACATGACAACAGGTCCCTCAATCACTACAACCCTCAAAGTGAAACTAAGGAGTATATTATCAGAATTGATTGCTGAGGTATGTGATCTGTTGGAACTGCAAATTATATCATGGCGTGTTGGGCCATTGTTGTATACTGTATTTGCCAAAGAAAGTGTCATGACAGCAGTTCACACACACAAGAGGCAATACATTACATTTGTTTCATTACTTTATTCTCTGTAAGGAGATATCTGTACATTTAAGATCAAGTGCCATTTGAGTTCCTTTTACAGTTCATAGAAAGTCTGACTGACGCTGCACTATGCAAACATGAAAACAACCACATCTAAATAGCTTTACTTTACTCAAAGCTGGAGAGGAAAGTCAACACAATCTGCTTGAGTTTAGCATCAGACGCCTCCGAGATTTTGCCATCAGCCCTGTAATCAAGAAGAGGTTGTTGAAAGCACATAAAAACAGAATATAAGTCCAACTGCTGTTGCTCAGAGGCTTTTAGACTAGAGATGGGACTGATCTTATATCGTTATCGGCTCTGATATTGAAGTAATTTACATATCGGATACCGGACTGACTGCGCAGATCCATGTCAATGATCAAGCAATAATATGGTTGGGCACTTAAAAGTACATTTCTTACACTTCACACAGATTTATTTTGAAAAACCAGACAACTGTTGCTGCTTCCTGTTTGTATGTCAAGCCAGCATAATGCAATGCAATACTGGGTTTACTACAGCTTTGTGTAGCCTTACACATACTACCAACAATAACAATATTAGTTATGATGTAAAAATTGATTTAAAAAAACTCAATTTTAGACTCACCTAATAGCTGCCAGCAGGTCTTGGTGCTGGCTCAGGACGTGTTGCAGGAATGCCTTCTCGAACTTCGTGATCTTACTTGGCTCCATTTTGTCCAGGTGTCCCCTCACACCAGCGTAGATCACCGTTACCTGTTCCTCAATGGCCATGGGACCTAAAGGATGAAGGTGTAGATTCAAGCAATGCACAAGACAAACTGCAGAGTGGATACAGGTTTTTAAAAAGAAGAATTGTAGACACTCACAGTACTGTCCCTGTTTGAGGAGCTCAGTGAGACGAACACCACGGTTCAGCAGCTGCTGAGTAGCAGCGTCCAGATCTGAACCGAACTGAGCGAAGGCAGCCACCTCACGGTACTGAGCCAGCTCCAGCTTCATGGTACCAGCGACCTGGTGATGCACACGAGTCAATAAGTCTCATCAAAGTTCATTCACAGTGATAAAAGAGAGGGTGATTATGTGGAACGCTAACCTGCTTCATGGCCTTGGTCTGGGCAGCAGATCCGACACGTGACACAGACAGACCCACGTTGATGGCTGGACGGATACCTTTGTAGAAGAGCTCAGTCTCCAAGAAGATCTGTTTGACAAAAAAGAGGACTTAGTGACGTGCTTAGGATGTTGATTTGAAATAAAGGAAATCACCTTCTCCCACCTGTCCGTCTGTGATGGAGATAACGTTGGTGGGAATGTAGGCTGACACGTCTCCCGCCTGCGTCTCGATAACGGGGAGAGCTGTGAGGGAGCCGCCGCCAAAGTTGTCGTTCATCTTGGCAGCTCTCTCCAGCAGACGGGAATGCAAGTAGAAGACATCTCCTGGGTAAGCTTCACGGCCGGGAGGACGACGGAGCAGCAGGGACATCTGACGGTAGGCGACAGCCTGTGTGGGGAGAAAACGAGCTTTGGCTTGAACTGCAAACTTAGTGTAATACAAAAAATTAAGGCTGTAATAAACTCAGACTTGTGTTGGTTGGATCAGGTTTGGCTGTTTTCATAATCACTTCCCTGATTTTTCAGCACACAAACAAACTCAAAATCAGACTTCAACAGTCACATGTTTTTCTTTAGACGCAGGTTAATCAGAAGTTTCACAGTCTTTCATAAGCACTGGCTTAGCCTGTCTGTATTATATTACATTACAAGCACAGTACTTTCTTAGCATTAAAAGTCACATCAGCAGCATCTTTTATCTCATAAAAGGACCCCATTTAGCTGCTGAGCTAATTCTAGCCACAGCTATCCCTACAGCACATGCCAAAGCCCCTTGGAGAACAATGAGTTGATAAACAACAGATTGAACGACTTAATTCAGTGTTTTGACCTGTTTTAATTAGCCCGTCTGTTTGTTTGGAGAGCGAGAAACCTCTGCAGATGGTTTGGCTCTCAAATACCTTGTGAAAGATGAACACCTAAGAAGTACTGCATCAAAAACAAGTTGAGCACCTAAAAACAGACATCAAATCATTTTTTCCCCATCAACAATGTAGCTTAAAATATGGATGTGCGTGATAAGTCATTAAACGCTGTCACCCTCTTAGTTGGCACCAGAATAACTGGTGGGTATAACTATCAATTGATTTTTTTGATGATCTTGGCCCACTGTGCAGTTTATATGTTGTGTCTAAGCTGTAACACAGCCACCTGCCACCAGTGGGGGCTGTAGCTCCGTTAATGGGCCAGCTCTCCCCACTCTACTGCCTGTATGGTATCTCGTAGGAGCAGCACAGAAAACTGGCATATAACAACACAACCAGAGCAAAGTGTAACCACATCTAGTACAGGCATGTGGAAGTTAACCTGCCAAGAGGAAAAATGGCTAATTTTAATTTACGTTAATCGAGGGGGGGGGAAATAAGTTGCTAAGACCATCCCTGGCTTAAAAAAAAAGTACTAGAGTAAGTAAGTAAAAGACAGGCAAAATGCAGTTTTGTCATTCCTCTCGTCTAATGACTCTTAGGGGAGCCCTATTAAAATTATTTACAGCATTTATGTTTGTTCGTGTAATTCTCCTCCAACAATGAAATGATTCAAAAATGACCTGTTTGGAGAGATCGTCGTAGATGATGAGGGCGTGCTTGCCGTTGTCTCTGAAGTATTCTCCCATGGAGCAGCCGGAGTACGGCGCCAGGTACTGCAGCGGAGCAGCGTCGGAGGCGGTGGCAGAGACCACGATGGTGTACTTCATGGCATCGGCGTCGGTCAGCCTCTTCACCAGCTGAGCCACGGTGGATCTCTTCTGGCCGATGGCGACATAGATGCAGTACAGCTTCTTCTTCTCCTCAGTGCCTTCGTTGAAGCGCTTCTGGTTGATGATTGTGTCGATGGCGATGGCGGTTTTGCTGAATGACAAATTCAAAGACTTAGAAACAGATCCAGCTGATGTCAATGTTATGCTTTAGAGCCAAATGATCTCCAGTTTAATTCATGAAAACATTTACTGCATCGCTTTTGAGGGTTACTTTCTATGGGTGACTTTCTACTTTCCCCCCCCAGGCTTCAAATCATCAATCAGAATGTTTAAAACAACTACAATAACTAAAAACGCATATAAAACATTGATATCATACTTTAGCAGTTATCATGGTTTCATGCAATATTTATTATTCATCCTACCCCTTGTCAGTTTTTGCACTCTAACTGCACCAGGAATAACATCAAATGCCACTGTGTTCAACTATTCACTTTGAGCAGAGTTCCCTCACCCAGTCTGTCTGTCCCCGATGATGAGCTCTCGCTGCCCACGACCAATGGGGACCAAGCTGTCCACGGCTTTGATGCCGGTCTGCATCGGCTCCCTCACAGAGATGCGGGGGATGATGCCAGGGGCCTTCAGACCCACACGCCTGCGGATCTGGGAGCCGAGAGGGCCCTGTGAGGGATCAAAGAGAACAGGAGTTCTATTAAGCATTTGGCTAATAAGATATTCAATTAAAAAAGCACAAGACTGTAAAACCCCCTTCTGCATTACATTACTATCAATGCCTCAAGGCCAACTCTATGAAATACTTAATTACTTAATAGCCAAGACTGTTCAATAGTTTGCCTGTAGGAGACTCTTAGAAGGTCAACCCTTCAAAAACAAACTGTTCGATTGTAAATATCAGGATTATTTTTTGTAAAACACTTTGTGTTGCATTTAAGGCAGGCAGGACTTCCGCAACAACAAAAACAGTTTACGATTACATTTATTTATCATATACCTTTCCATCGATAGCGTTTCCCAGAGCATCGACTACCCGGCCCAGAAGCTCTTCACCGACGGGAACGTCCACGATGGCACCCGTTCTCTTGACAATGTCACCTTCCTTGATCAGCTTGTCGTTACCGAACACCACAACACCGACGTTGTCAGGCTCCAAGTTCAGAGACATGCCCTGGTGAAGAGAAACGGAAACAAGGATGACGACCATTTCCCCCTCAAGTTTACAAAGTACTCATGACACAGAAAGCCACCTGTTTACTTATAATCACCAAGCCTACATTTAAATCAACATGAGTATTCTGTACTGCATCCTTTTAGAAATCATCAAACTAAAAATAAAATAAGCAGACACATTTCTTCTTCTAGCAAAGACTTAAAAAAAAACATTTAAAAATGGCCACTACATAGTAGAAGCAGTAAATTACTTTTAGGAGACAGTAAGTTGCAATGGCTCTGTCCTGCTTTAATAAAGGGGTCAGGAGATAGAGAGTTTTGCAGTATTTCATTTGACTACGATTTATTTAGAGGCAGGTTAATTAAATACAATCACTAGTGTTGGAATATTTTTTTCCTCAAACATGTAAGCAGTAGCATTAACCATTTTTTTTAAAGGGTCAGTGTCCATTTTCACATCACCATGCAGCAACATTTGGGTTCTAGTTTACAGCTACTTTTTCCTTTCTTTCCTTCTTTTGTTTCCACTACTTATGTACCTGCTTACTGTTGTGGTAAATAGTTTTGTTTTTGTTAAAGTAAATACAGGCACAAACTTTGGATAACATAGAACAATTATAGAGCTTAAGCAACATTTGTTAAGTAAGTTAATGTGTTTGCTGTGAATCTGTACGTCACATAGTTGTCTATCTGCAATGACAGACTGACCAAAGCTCTGAGTGGAGGGCACGATCTGTCAAGTGGTGAAGCACTCTGACCAATCAGTCGTCTTAAGTGTTTGAAACATAACGCTTTTTAAACTTCATATGGGGTGATACCTAAAAAATACCAGATACTATTCAGAACTTCTTCCAATGGAAAACTAAAAAAAAAGAACAGTTACACGAAACTTGAGTATGGTCAAGAAGAGCTGCACCAAGCTGTAGAAATGAGTCATCCGATTACCTTCAGGCCAGAGGAGAACTCCACCATCTCCTCGGCTTGGACGTTCCTCAGACCGTACACTCTGGCAATACCATCACCAATAGACAGCACACGACCAGTCTCCTCCAGGTCAGCAGCGGTGTCTGCTCCCATGATCTTTTCCTCCAGAATAGACGACACCTCGGCTGTGCCTTTAACGCATTCAATTGGATAATTAATAAAATGTCCACTAATAAACAAGTTTGGAAACCTCGCACGACGACATAACCATTTCACCACACAGACCTGTTTTCTGCAGCCATGGCCGGGTGGTGTGCAGATTCTTGGCTCCTACACAAGCTGCTGCAACATTCTTTGACACCTTTAAGACAACGGGAACAATTACAGAAATCAGTTTCATTACGGCAAAATAAATCCACAAAAAAAAAAGAAAAAAAGAAAGAATATGTTGCAATTGTTTTAAGCACACCAGGTTAAAACAAATTAAATTAAACAGTCCAACATCTCATGAAGGACGTGTGGTTAATGAGGTGATAGTGTGCAGCAGTGGGTTTTTTTCTTCATAATATGGGAGAGGTGTTTTCATCACAAACATTACTACATAATAATGCATAGAAGATTTAAAGTAAGAGTAGTAGAAAGTTAGACAAGTTACTAGAACATACAATGGCAAGTCACATCATACTTTCTTGGATGAAATATTAGAACATAAGCGATGCAAACTGAGACCATCTCAATTGTAGAGTTGATAAAAGACATAAATGACAGTAAATTATCATCTTAAAATAAATATTTAGGTGTTCATTAAAAATCAAGGGAAGTTCATTGAGTCTGCAGACAAAAACAGTTACTATTTACAACACTTCATAAATATTCTAACTCTGTCATCATTTATACATGCACATAATTAGCATGTTAAGCCTTGAAAGTCCATTTTAGAGGTAAAGGTGACATGTAATGTGGGAGAAATCTGACCTTCAATGTCAATCACCAGCGTCGTTCTTAGACGACAGCTTAGTCATTGACAATGCATGAACAACACAATAAAGAGTGCATGGATTCATTTAATCGTCCAGACATTTGGTAATGTCTGAAAGAGTAAGTGGGCGGCTTGTCCCCTATCTGTCAGCTCAGCTGTAAATGTTATCAGAGGAAAGTAGCCATGTGAAGGGCCCAGTGTCCTACGATGCAAAGACGTGCACACGCACAGTACCGCCGTGGTTTTTTTTTCTTTTCAACAAGGACTTTAAGTAAAAAAGTCAACAACAAAATGTTACATGACGAAAAGAGAAGCTTACAAATCCAGCCCGTCGAGGCAGACTGCGGGCAAGAGCCGCAGCGACGCGAACTGACAGCATGTTGGTATCCTTGTGAGTGTGTCCGGGCTTGCAGAGCACAGAGGGAAGGATGGCGGACACACCGACGATATGCAGAAAGGTCGCAGTGACCCGGAAGCACTTCAAAATAAGCGTCTCTTGTTTTTCCTCTTTTTTAATTCATTTGAATTCGTAATGATTTTTTTTTTTTTTTAACATATTGTGTTTTCAGTGACAACTATGCTGACATACTATATATTTCATTGGGCTCATCAATTGTGACACTTTAAAAAAATAAAATAATAATATGCAGGAATGACACAACATATATCCAATACAATAAATATCCAGGGAACCAAAGAAGTGTCACTAAATGTTTACAGTCTATGTAAATAAACCCTATTCCAACCAAATTTTGGGTTTTTACTTTAAATAAAATGAAAACGGAAAAAGGGGAACATTGTCTTAAAAAAGGTGCAGAATGTAGATGAGTTGTATCAATGTTTAAGAACAATTAACTAATAATTAACTTCTCACTCATTCATTGCAATTAGAAGTTCCCTTGATCGTGTAGTCCTAAAGAAGGGCAACACAATTTCGTTTTGAGACATTCAGTAACTCTCAAGCTTATGGAACTTTATAGAAATTAATTTGTTATTAATCAACCTATTTATTTTTAAAAAGAAACTCATTATTGCCACAAGCAGGTTAATCTTATCATTTTATATTGTAGTTCCAGTACCTACCTAACTAACTACCTTTGTATTCTCCTAAGTATAATAATAATATAATAATAACAAAAAAAATACTTCAATATACATAAGATCCCAGCATTCAGAGTTTTATTCAAATGATGGTACAGGAGTATTGAAGCAATGCATGCTTTAAGTATAAATGATAAAAGCATGAAAATAGCCTGTTACTGTAGGCCTACAGCATATTATGCTATTACTGTTATTACTGATTTATAAACATATTTTAGTGTTATTTGTTTTCAAGACACAGCTCATTTCAACTATTCTTAGAACTGTCGAACAAAGCATGGGATTGTAAGATAAGATAAGATAAGATAATCCTTTATTTATCCCACAATGGGGAAATTTACATTGCTACAGCAGCAAAGAGCAAAGATTGCAGACAGAAATTGAACACAGTACAATTTAAATTAAAAAAATAAATAAATAAATTAAGAATGTACAAAAAAAAAGATACTAAACAATAGATTTAAAAAATAATCTATAGGCCTTTAGAATGAATTGCTGATACGGTACAAACTATTTATTTATCCATATCAACGATGTGTGACAGCTGTCAGATAATTTAGATGAAACAAACTTAGAACTCTGTCCCTTTCAAAGTAGTTGATTACATACCGGTATACTTAGTTAGCCTACTTTCCATTACAAACAGCCCTCTTGCCTTATACAGTCCTGTATTGATAATTTCTTTATGTCTTTATTTCGAACGATTAAAAAAATAGATGAAAATGAAAATGAATAAACAAATGGAAAAAAAAATCTGTATAAAATAAAAATTAAAAAAAAAAGCCAATTTCAATATAATACACATTTGACTCGTTTGAAAAGGGATAGGAAGAAGCCTAGGCTTGTCAAGTCCTACCCCCCATTCTTCACCATTAACAAATGCAAAATCCAATAAAAAATAAACTAAACGGACAATCCAAAAAAAATACTCCAATCGAGCTATTAAGAAAAAGAATAATAAAGTAATATATTTATAATGTTGGGGATACAGGTAACCCAACCTCTACATTTGCCCTGTATCTTCATGCTGTAGTATTAAAGTTGAACCACCGGGGGCGCTAGACCGGCTAAGAACAGACCGGAAGTGGCGCATGCAGCTTTTGTGAGAGACGGACGGCTGATGGAGACATTTTAAAATAAATACATAGCTAGCTTGCTAAAGGGCTAACAGGGCTCGGGGAAAAGGTGCGAGCAACACTGCGCCAAAAAAAAACACCGTTCAAGTTTTAAAGAAGTGAAGTGTATTTATCAGCGCGTTGTTTATGCATCGTTACTCAGTAAGACTGCACATTTTTGAAGATGTCGAAAAGTCTGACGGTGGGGAAAAGAGACATATAACTGACGCCTTGGTAAGTTGAAACTAACGCAGCCGTTTTGAATGCTAAGTTAGCTATCGTTATAACAGAGATAACGCGAGCCGATAGCTAGCTTCTGACATTAGCCTGCTTGTTACGCCTCTGGGTGGCTGGATACCATTTCCATTTTTAGGATCCTGCGAGGCAGCTGCCCTGCAACGTGAACGTTTTTTTTTAACTTGTCGTCTTCTTCTCGCCAAGTTTTTTTTTTTTTTCTTGCAGAGTGTGAGGTTATGAACGAGGTTAGCGCTACTACGCAGCTAAAAGTAGTGTCTTGAGTACGAGCCTGCTTTAGCCCCGGCTAGCTGAAGTTGCAACCAACTTAAAAGTGTTTAGTCCACGAATAAATGCCCTATAATATAAACACTAATTTTCCTAAAATAAGCCGAAAATACGTTTTCTAGTCAGTGTTTTTATGCAAGGTTAAGAAGGAGGGAGAGGTAGCATGAGGATGCCACTGGTGTAGTGTTTGCAGAGATCTTATGTTTTATCTTAAGAGCATAACTCAATATTGGAGGATTAAGAGAATAATGTTTATGACTGTCTAGGGCTATATTTTATAATCTTCGCCAAGTACATTAAGCCATTGTAACTGCCTTATATTTGATACTAACTCACATTGCATTTAAAGTTCACATCCCAGAAGGGCAGCCAAATTTAAAAACGAATCTTATTGTTATGAAATTGCCTTGTGTCAATATGCCCCAGAGGTTAAATGGCTTTCTCAAGCTTTCCAGTTTTACACTGTAAATTGATAGTAGTGATTTGTCTTGTCTTCTTCTAGGTAAGCTCCTGTCCAGGCACATTGGTCCATGTTTGTTGGACCTTTGGGCTCTGGGCTCAACTAGCATGAAGATGGCTGATTCAGAAAAGGCAGAGGAATTTGTTGATGCCGAGTGCCCACTAGAGTGCCTTGATGAAGCACAATCAGCCACAGCTTCTGTTCAGGGAGAGCAGGACGAGCACCTGAAAACAGAGACCACCACCAGTACCAGCTCACCGCCAAGGGAAAAGGAGGGAGACAGCCCCTTGAATACAGAGGGTGAGCAGAGTCTCCTCTCCATGCCATGCCTGATGAAGGAACTCCGCAGAGACTCGCCAGAGTCCCAGACTGCCTCCACAGGGAGTGACAAGCCTGTATCACGTCATATCTATGAGAGTGACTCCTCAAATCCCTGCATGCTATCCCCCTCATCCAGCGGCCACCTAGCTGACTCAGACACGCTCTCCTCAGGGGAAGAAGGTGCCGCTCCTCCTGCAGGAGAAGATGCCAACATGGAGGCGTCAAATGATCCAGGGCAGGCAGCAGGAAGGCAAGCGTCTGCCACGTCTACAGGGGGGAGGAAGTCCCGGCGATCACGCTCGGAGAGTGAGATGCCCCCTAATGCAATGGCCGCAAAGAAAAACCGCTGCCAGCCCACCACAGCTGCCGCGGGAGGTCAGGAAAAACAAACCAACGGCAAGCTGGGAAAAGTGAAAGGTCACCGGAGCCAGAAACACAAGGAGCGGATGCGTTTGCTGAGGCAAAAACGAGAAGCAGCAGCGCGGAAGAAGTATAACCTGCTGCAGGACAGCAGTACAAGTGACAGCGAGCTCACATGTGACTCCAGCACTAGCTCTTCTGAGGATGACGATGATGACACTTCAGGAGGCAGCAAGACAATCAAGACAGATATTTCAGGTAACATCCAATGTTTTTTGCACATGCTTTTAGAAAAGTATCAATGCTACTGTCCAGGGTTACAGTAAAAACAACTTTGGTTATCCCATGTTAAGTATCTGATAATAGAAAAAACATTTAGTGTGTGACAATCAAAATGACTTTGTTTAAAAATGGCTTTTCTTTAAATTTAAAAGCAAAAGGACCACATGACAGAGCTTTACAAACCCTTTTTGTAATAATCAATTAGAAAAAGTCCTTCTTTGTGTTTGTTTTATCAGTGACCTTTTTGTGTTTTTTTTCTCACTCATCATCTGTCCTCATTCACCCTGTCTCTAGATTTTTTAACTCTTCATTTTAGAGGAGTCTATATCCTGTCACTTGTAGTAAAACAATATTTGATTTGTTAGAACTTTATCCCATTGTCTGCATGCTGTGGAGCTCTAGTGGACATTCTTCAACTCATTGAACGACAGATAAACCAAGTTCTGGTAATCTAACCTGAGTTATGTTTTCTGGGTTCAACAAGTGAGCCAGTTATATCCTCTGACATTTTTCTCTAAATAGACAATGGTGTGTGCTGGCAGAAGCTGCAAGACTCATTAAGTGTATTCCGCTTTTCTTTCTTTGCCTGCAGCTTTTGAATATTCTTTAGGACTATCATACACTTCACTCTGCCCACACAGGAGGCGAGGAAGATTTTAGAAAACTTAACACAGGTGGTTGTATTTTCTATAATGAGTTACGCAGCACCCTTTGAGGAATCTGATAGCTCTGTGTCTCGACTAGAACCTACTGGATTGTTGCATACAGCTTTGACCAAACATAGCTGCAAACTAAATTCTGGCACATGGTGTCTCTACAGAAGAACAAACATAAATAGTATTGTTGGCACAACGGCCCTCCTTTTTTCACTAAGTTAATCGTGTCTTTCCTGATCTCTTGTGTGAGTTGAGTTCTCCATAAGTTGTGACTAGCAATTTGTAACTAAAAGAGGGATGTCTGCTTCTGCTGTTGGATAAATTACTTTTTAATTCTTAACAGATCTCTTGCACTGTGTTTGAATATCATGAAAATAAGTTACATTGGTTCTAGTAGGCAGTATTAATTAAGATATTTATATTGTTTGTGTTTTTTTTTTTTGATAATTAAGTTTGTTTTGAGAGTGCTACTTGTTTTTCTAGCATTTTTTTTGTTCAGGTGCACTATAAAGGTCTTATACAAGGTGCATTCTTTTGGCTTAAACTAAAACCGCTGCAAGATTTTTGAAGTTGCAGTAGACAGAGTAAGACGTATCTGTAGCCATTTATCATAGTATATATGTTTTTTGCCACATACGGGTATATTCACCTCCTTGAGCCTCAAGTTACACATTTTCCTAACCACAATCACTCAGCTACCAGAAACATCCAATTTTCTTCTTTAGGGCTCTGTACCACATGAAATGTTTTCAACCATTTTTACATCGTGCACACAGATATGAGTACTACAGCTGCATGATGTAGTCCATCAGCATGTAAACAGTCGATCTGCACGTAACCAAAAACAAACTCATTTTCTCTTTAATGCAAAAGTCCAACTCCAAAGCATGAACGTGCTACTGTATTTTCTTATGGCTTGGCCTCAATGTCTTTAAAGCTGGCTTCAGACGTGCATCGGAGAGATCCAGAGTGGGCGCCCAGATTCATGGGCTGCTGGACAGCGGTACGTGGGACAGAAACGGCATCGGCAGTGTCCTGGAGGAGGCCATGACGCGCTTTGCTGTGATGCAGCGCCAGACTGAGGAGCGCTTCCGCATCTGGATGGAAAAGCTTGCACATCTTGACTCCGACGACTCATCCAAACGTTCAAGTGACGCCCACGAGGGTCAGCAGCAGGGTGGACGCCCATCCCCACCCAGTTCCTATTTGCCATCATCGGAGTCTGCAGAGACTATGGCTGCCTACATGTTGGCACGAGAGAATAACACTCTCACCCCCACTCCCATAAACAACAACATTCTACCTGAAGTGACCACTCAGAATGGAAATCTAGGTGTTCCAGACCCCGGTCTCCTGAATGTTTAGATTACATCTACACCACTCCTCGCTGTTTTGGACTTTAATCTTACCAAGTGTAGAACTAGTTATAGAGATCATGGAAAAGGGTATTATAGATAATTGTTGTGAGGTCACTAAGCAAATACACCCTAACCAGCAGCTGGGCCGGAGCTGCTCATTTGATCTGGACTCTCTGCAGACTTGAGACTTGGTGCATCTGCTGACACTGAATCACTGTGAGACTCTCTGAATAATTCAACTCACCTGTTTGATTTCTGCTGAATCTGTGACACGGACACAGGCCAAATCTCTATAGACTCTTGAGTCAGGGCTCTTATTCTACTGCTTAATGTATGGCTTGTTAGGTTTTTATGGAGCAGCTGTGCACACATACACACACAAACACTGAGAAGCTGATTACGTCATTCACATAGACTGTGCTTTACAACACCTGGCAGCCATCACAACAGTGATAAAGTGGGGTGCTGCTGCTTAATAGCATGTGCCTTGTCATTCTGACGTCATGCTGGGAATGATAAATAGAGCATCATAGTATTCATCATACTATTTCTTTAAAAAATTAGGTTTCACTATCTACATAGCCCTTCATTTTCCTGAACTATGTTTGCACTTTGCTTAAAAGTGGTTCAGGACTTAAAAAATGTTGGCAACCTTTATTTTGGTGGCATAGCTTTACTAACATCAAAACATTTTAAACATAGATTTGCCTATAAATATAAAGACAAAATGCTTACCACTAAATGTCTTGATTTGAAAATATTTAGATATGTTTTTTAATGTTTGCCTTTCTGTTACATTTGCTGCTATCGCTGCGTTTGTGCAGTAACAAGAAACTAGTGAGGGAGAAGTGACTCCTAATGGTTATTTGTAGTAGCGTATAGATTATGGATTTCAGATATGGCATGGGTTCCTATGTTGTGGCTATCAGCTCCAATGTTCAGAACCTCCAATTTTTACTCATATAATATTCGTTACTACTTTATTTCTTTACTACTATATTCACTGGTCTGCCGGCTTGGCCTGTGTCTGCAGCTTGACTTTAAACTGAAAAACCCAGGCATCAAACTAACAAATACACCGCGGTGATAACAGCTGTGGTATGGTGCATGGCAATGTTTACTGACTTCCTAAACCTGACTGATCTGAGTGATCATGTGGCCTTCTCTGGTTCAGATCCTATGGTCTTTGAGGTGGAAACACTCCTTCTCAACCCCTTCCTCAAACTAGTTTTACTGATGTGGATGGCTAGTCTCACTACACCGCTAACAACATCCAGACATAATGAAGGATTCATTGGCCTAATCATGTTTCTGATATGAAATACCATAAATATATTTCATATCGTGTAAGGATGTTGAAAAAAGAAGTGTTACATTTTCAGTATGTGTATATGTAGCCCTATGACTGTCAGTTTTACACAACTGAAGGCTGGAAGTTCCCCCACCTGTTTGCATGTGATTATATTAGTATATAGAATGTACAAGGCCAAATTAGTTTCATCAGCAGCATGTGTGCAAGGTGTACCTTTGCTTATGCTGATACATGGTGACTGACCGGACATTTGATCTGTTTAATTGCCTTTTTTGGCCTTCTGTCTTGTTTCAAGTTGTTCTAATAATTTGTTTTTGTTTGATTCTGCTTAAATACTAGGGCTGCCCCCTAAAAGTCGATGACTATAATCATAAGTCAAGAAGACTCAGGTTGACTCTTGATTTGTCAGTTGGATCACTGAATCACTCTGCCATATTTCACTAAAAAGTAAAAAAAAAAAAAAAACAGCACGACGGCCTGTACATTTCAGAAAATCGTTATAGTTCTTAAAGTGCAGGTAAATTATCTAAACACACCTGGTAATTAAAAAAGGTGTAAATATTTAGTAAAGAACTTTCACTCTACAATTCCAAGCTGAGAAGCTTGCAAACATATTCAATGATTGTTCCAGTGGTGTGGTCATTGTTAACAATATACATCACAAATATTAAAGATGGTCTACATCAGGGATGGACTTTCAGCACTGGAAAGGTAGTCTTCTGGAAATCTTTAAATGTAAGAGAAAGATGCCTCTTACAGGTAAAACATGAGTCTCATCTAGGCTTATACACAAGGTTGGTGTGGCGCATCACAATAAAAAGGATAAATAGTCAAACATTTTTACCAGCCAAATCAGATTCGACTGACTAAATTCTGAGTGGGGTACAGCCCTTATAATTACTTTGCTCACTGGCCAACTGGCATCAGCGGAGATGCGACATGCAGAAATGCCTTGCCAAGTGACAAACACCAATGCTTCATCTTTGCCATTAAACTTTAATTTTGAATCAACTGTTCTGTCGACATGTTAAAGTGAGCCCTCACAATCACACGCTGTGTGCATTAGAAATAACACTAAGGACAGTCAATTGTTTACCAAAGAACTATCCTGGTTTACATGAGTCCTTTTCTATCTCTTAATACATGGCCTTTAAATCCCTTTCTCTGGTAACCCTGGTACCTTCCTATTCCAGCCCAACCAGCTATTCATAGGCAGCGTTCTGTTATAGTACATGCTGTCCAGACCAACCCTCTCTCTCAAACAACACAGTATACACACACATACCCAAAGACACGTCTGGGTAGCTGTGTTAGTGTATGTCTCTCCCAGGGACTCCTTTTACAGGGTAGAAGAAAGATACATGTTTCAGCTCTTCCACTTCTGTTGTTTTGGCCTTTTTACTTATCTGACAAAATTTATTTCACAGATTAAGATAATTTTGAAGTGTTTTGTAATGATTGTATTCTAGTGTAGTTTTTATGTGAATGGCTGTTATTTTAAAAGCAATAAATGGAGAGAAAACAAAACTGTTGCACAAAGTTTATTGATACAAACACTATAATATTAGAAAAGACTCACTAGTTAAGCATCCTAAATGTTTCTTCAACTGTTCATGTTTTATTGCTGAATGGATGAGCCAAACTGTTGGTGTATATCTGGGGCAATAGGGTATGTTTCCATGTTCTTTTTCATATAGAAGCTGCAGCTAGCTGGGCTATGGATTCAAACAGTCCTACTCCTCCCAGGCATGATTTGAATAATAAAGTGTTTTCTTTGTTTCCTGCAGACGGGCCTCCAGTAGTGGGTCACTATGATATTTCAGACACTGATTCTAACCAGGAGAGTATGAGTGTGGAGACAATCCGGCCCACGGTGATAAAGCATGAGCTAAAAACACACAGAGGCCAGGATATGGCAGCTCACTCTGGGTGTATAAGAGCTCTGAGCTCTATCTCAGGTCAGTTACAAACCCGGTAAATCCAAACTGATCATTTCCTCTCAGTGAAGACAGAACAGTTAGAGGCATTGGTGTCACCAATAAGCAACGTGCTATGTGGGGAGACGGTCTTAATAATCTCAGCAAGACGCCTTTCTGAAGCCTTCTTCTTGCTACTGGCTTGGTGCTATGAAAAAGTCTTATTCCGCCTTTCTTCTTTCAAAACAACAAATTGACCTTTCTGACTGACTAGCTTGCAGTGTCAAAACTCGAATTTAAAGTCCATAATGTTATGTTTTGTCCAATGTGTCACTCCCTGCCATGTCTGCTAGGCTAAGTGTCAGATTCATCATTGTTTTCTTCTTTTCCTTGTCAAGGCAGCTGCAGTCTTTATGTGTCAGCGAGGCCTGAAGCTCTCTACTGGCCCCTCACAATGTGTGACTGTTCCTCTTTTGATTTGTTTCAGGCCACGTGGAGGCAGAGCTGTCGCACAAGGAGGGTTCCATACACAACAAGGGCCAGATTAACATCGCTTCCTCTGACAGTGAAGTGGAAATTGTCGGAGTGCAGGAGAAAGCACGGTAAACACTTTCTTTAGGGGGACTTTCAAAAATATAACTTTTATTAAAAGTGAAACGTCTCCTCCGGTATAACGAAAAACTGTCTGCTTTCTTTATGAATTTGTTTCTAAATGTAGATGTGCTCATCCATGCGGAGGTGTGATAAAGAGTCTCTCCTCTTGGAAAGACAACTCAGTGGAGCAGTTAAACAGCACAAATCAAGCCCAACTCTGGACTACTGTTTCCCCTCAGCCCAACTGGGTGTCTCCTCCTGAGGTGGTGGACCTCACACTGGATGAGGATGCAGGACACAAATACCTACTTTAAACAAGTTGTACACTGAAGACTCCTTGTTTCTTCCTCTCGGTCCTCCTCATCCCTCTTGCCTTGCCTCCATGTTACGACTGTCGCAGCCTCGCCTGTAATCGCTCATGGACTCCTGCTCCAGGGCTCCTTTTTTTTTTTGTGTATGTGTATCAGAGCCATTCTACTGACATGATTACCTGATCTTAGCTTGGATTTAGTTTTAATTAAATGGCACATCACTTCAAGTGCAGGTGGAAAAGTATGTAACAGTGATTTATCTGTTAATGATAGCAATATTTTTCATTTAATACCTCATTTACCCCTTAAAAATGGATGTGAGCAGGCATTTGTTGTTCTGTGTTGCAAGCTCTATGGTGAAAACTTCAAGTTGCTGCTTGAGAGCATGTCAGTATAATGTCGTGGCTGTGGACCTTCTCCACCACAGACTCCAAAAGGCATATTTTCAGACTTGATTTCAAATTTAATTCGTATTCCCCTGCATTTGATACAAAATGGCAGCTGGTACAATTTTTGTTGTACAGGAGACAGTAGGTTGATTACAGAGATTGCTTTGTACACATCTACGGTCAATTTTATTTCAGAAGTCTCACCACTGGTTTCACACGTAGGTCAGTCTAGGTTTAAAGCTTTGCTCTTCTATACTGCTCTCTGCATAGGTACAGCCTGTGATCTGTTTCGTCAGGAAAGTCTTCGGTTCATCTTAAAGAAATAGTTTGACAATAGGGGAAAAGTGCTTAGTTGTTTTCATTGTGAAGAGTTGGACTTTGAACCAGTTCTATATCTCTCAATTCAATACAAGGCTCCAGGCTAGAAGAGGAGGGAGACAGCTAGCCATGCTCTATTCAAAAGCAACAAAATGTACCCAGCAGAACCTCTTGAGCTCACCTATTAACTTGCTGATATCTCCTTTGTTTAATCCATAAAAAATGCAGTGTAAAAAAACAACAATTTTCTGTTTTTGTGGGGGTCATTTGCTAGAAGTTTTCCTAGTTGTGAAAACAAACTGCTGGTTTAATCCAAACTCTGATGGGAACACACTACAAAATAAGACTCATTTTCAAGACAGCACTTCTGTATTTGAACATGGTGATGTTGGCAATATGTTTCAATCCAGTTGTTTTAACATGTATTTTTATGTTGGAATCAACAGAGTCTGCGAGAGTCCCGTGGGTAGTCGTTACCAGTGAATGTATGACTGGGTGCACTAATTGTTTGCATGCGTATCCTGAGTGGATGCAAACACCTTTAATCCTCTGGGGACCCCTTTTTAAAACAACTGAAAAAAGGTATTTTCCACTGAATACTGCAAATCAAGATGGCCTGAATGCCTTGAAATGTGCACTACTTTCTTTTAGAATCTTCTAAAGCGTATTCTTTTACCTTGCAGAGCAGTGGGTTTTGCTATCTCAACAGTAAATATTTTAATAATAGATTTGAATTTAGCACACTGAAAAGGAGTAAACGCGGGGTGGCGTTTGTGTCAAGATGTCGGGAAGTTATAGAAAAAGCTTTTACTGTATGAACTGTTCTTGACCCTGATCCTCAGGGCCTGTTTCCTCCTCCCTTCTCTGTGCTCTTATTTCTGTATTCATACAGTACTGCAGTCATGCTGGTATTTTATTTTTTGTTAATCAGTGATCTAACTTCAAACACTGTTTTAAAATGAAGCATTTCTTTAATTTCATATGCGATACCAACTTGTCTGTCTTCAACAGGATGCTTGACAATTGTAGAGTCCAATAATTTAACTTCTGCTGGTCACAGAAGGGAAGGGAAATGTAATCTAAGGAACTAAACCAAAGCCTAAATGGATTTTTTTTTTTTTTTAATTTTCTTTCCCAATTTTAATATACTTTTCATTTGGAAGTCAGTCTTTGTTACATGAGGGGACAAGAATTCTGTTTCAAACTCATGACACGGCTTATATTTTTAGTTTTTTGCTTTGGCCAGTCTTCTCCACTTCATTCAACTACCACTGTGATGTCTTTTACCAGACCACTCCTGCTTGCAAAACCCATTTTGCTTTTGTTCCTTAGGATTTTTATGAATTGTTTGTAAAACTCATGTCCTTAGTGATAGAGGTTTGGTAGAAAACTTGGGCAGTGATGCTCAACTATGGTTGCACATAGCATGTCTGGTCACGTTTTTAACCTCATGTCCGATATTTTCCTCACCACATGTAATTTAGCCTCGCTCTTCTGTTCTTTTGTTTGTTTTGTTTTATTTTACTGTCAGTATTTTAAATTTAAAAAAAAAAAAAGGTTGTTTATTTTGTTGCTTCTGCAAGTCCTTGACTTCCTTGAAATTATGTCTGTAGAACAAAAAAAGAAACTATTTTAAAACTAAATAAATAGAGCGTTATTTAATGATCCCCTTGTACAGCTTTTTATTTCTTATTCTGTTTATTTATTGTCCAGGCTGGCTGAGTACTCTTTGGTCTCGTGTGACTTTCAGAGCTTTTAGTAGAACTCAATAGATAAAGGATTTTGAGACTGTTACCCATTTGGATTTAAGAGGTGAAAATGTATTAACTGCTGATTTGGAAGCCAAATGAGCTTGAATTAAATATGGGACTTTTATTTTCTACATGAATTTGCACCTCTATAAATCTGCAAACATACTAAGAAGCTACTTAGAAATCACTACTTGCTTCACAAACAGAGCTGAGAATATTGCCAACTATAGCATTAGAGCACAGGTGAACTTTGTGTTGATACATTCCTTTAATTCTTGTTTTCTATATTATGTGTTCTAAAATTACATTTTACATGAATCATTACATTTGAATTTTTAACCCCAGGAGGAAAACCTTTATATCTGTGATGGGCTCAAATCTGCAAATAATATCTGCCTACTTAATACACTGGTGGGTCTCTAATGTCAAGTGCCAAGGCTAGGAAGGGATAAATTACTACTGAAGATATTTTTTTAATCATTGACGTTGAATTGATCTTTTTCAGTATACCAGTGTTTCTGAGGTGTGGGGAGTAAAGACAGAGATATTTCTTTTTGTATTTTCTAGCAGTTCGTAGAAGTCAGAATAGTTATTTGTAAACATTGTTACTTAAATTGTTCTTTAGTAGTTCTCTGTGAACCAAAAAGATAATAATAATAATAATGAGAGCACACTGATATGTGTTTCTGTAGTCTAAAGTCTTCTCCATTAAAAACTACTCTTCTGTGTAAGGGTGAGAATAATCCACATCATACACACAAAACATAATGAGATGTCGTATTGTTTTCTTTTTATCTTGTAGTCAAACAGTCTAGACAACTGCCTGGCTACGAACAATACAATTTCACTCTCACCTAAAGTGACATGAGGGGTTAAAGGTCACCCTGCGTCACCTGCCGCTAGGGGGACATATGGAGTTCACATGAAGAGGACAATGAGGGTGTGGAGCAATTCAGTCTGCGGGGCCCTTCTCTTAAAAACCAAAGCCCTTCAGCTAGCTCTTTTCACCCTTGGGGCAGAACATCAGCTGTATGCTAATTTTTTTTACAGGGCAGTGGAGGCCTCACAGAGCAGCAAGTGTGCTGGCTCACTCTCAAAAGCTGGAAATAAGTATCCTTCCTCTTGCAGATGTCTTTTTAGTCTGAATGATGCAGCTTTGGATTCTGTTTTTGTACACGCACTGCTCCAAGGTTTAGTACAACTAGTGACAGCTCACTTATTAATGGCTGCTGCCGGCATTGACTGAAAGGGACTTTTTTTTAAACAGCAAAAGTAATGAAAAAAAAAACAATATTCTCTGGTTTAAGCTTTTAAAATGAGAGGGTTTACTGTTTTACTTAACAGGTAAAGGTTTCAGATTTTTGCCAAACAAAACAGGACATTTACAAGTGTTGCTTTGGGGTGCTTGTGTACATCTATATAAAAGTAATGTTCTGCTGTAGCTAATGTTTTCAAATGATTTAATATACACTGTTCGTCGTATGGAGTTAAAGATAAGTGAACTGATTTGACCTCTACTGACAGTAAAGCAGTGTGAAAGGCTCTTTGTGTGACACCGCAGGCTTAAAGCATTACATGGTGGGAATTGGACGACTAGGACATATGGGACTAAGAGTTTTGTGACCCCCTCAGCTCCCCCATGTCCATCTGTTCCTTCACCCTTCAGGCTTAACACTAAAGGCAAAGAGGTTTTGAGGACACAGACTGTATTGGTATATTTCCTGCTCAGGAAAACTTTTTAAAAATACAGAGAAAATGTTTCTCAAGAGTTATGCCCCAAATAGGTTAAAATATATTTCAATGGTCTGTATTTGGACATAATTCACTTATTGCTGTTGTTTGTTCGTTCATTTTTTTTTACTGAAGAGTGATTGGAAAACTGAGTCCCTAAGTGAAGAAGAATCCAATTAATTGTTGGTACTGTAGGCATTAATGTAATGTGTCACCTTATCCATAATAATTATTTAACCAATTAGGGATTTGGTCAAGTGCTAAACAAATAGGTTGAGTATATCGTGTGACGCGTCATCTGTCATGTTATGTGGATGGGAAATAAAACTTGTGAGGATATTAAAGTTGACCCTACATTCGCTTTTTCCTCAAGGTAGAGAGTTGTTTGACCAAATTAGCTTAAATGGGATTGAAGTAGCCCACCTACTCTTGGCTAGTGGATCCAGTCATGGAGGGGGGCGGGCTGTCCAAAACACAGACCTCCTCCCATTGGTGGAGCAGGGTGCCAAAGCCGGAGGGTCCTGCTCATGGGATGCAGTGATTGGCTGCTGGGCTCTGAGTGTGAAGGCTGCGCAGCACCGTCCGTTTGAATGTGCTGGGGACTGGAGGGGATCATTTCCATGGACCATCTGTCTCGCTGGCTACCCACACAACAAAGAAGGACCCAGGATGGTGTTGGTACACGTTGGATATCTGGTTCTCCCAGTCTTCGGCTCAGTTAGAAATAGAGGTATGGCTAGCTGCATTTATTTCTTTGTTCTAACTCTTAACAAAATTGTCGGCGTCGCTTCTTTTAAATGTCCTCAAATTATGTAAACAGAGCTGACACCTGACCTGCTAGCAAAAAACACAAGGCAGCCTAATCGCGACAGTCCACCGTAGATAACATAATCAGTCTTACTAGCTTTGTAGCGTCGCGCCAATTTAGCCTTAACCAAAAAAAAAAAAAAACCCGTTGCAACGCTGTTACGGCTACATTTTAATGTTTTTACAAACCGCCGTACAGATTTACGTTGGGGGCCCTCTTTAATAGCACCAAACGAATCCAGCTGTCAAATGGCAGCTCCCTCTTTTTCTTTTATACTCAGCTGGGCTTAAGCGGCTCGTGGGGGTCTTGCTTAATCTGTCGCGCGGTGTTTACGTGCGTTAACTGCTATTTTGTGCAGTAACCTAGGTAACGATCTGAAATAGCGACGTTTACGGGCTCATCTTGAAAAAAAAAAAGAATAATACAATTATCTGCTTTGTTTTTTTGTTTTTTCTTCCTCCCATTAAAATTTTGAACAAGCAACCGGGGCAGCTGTATCTGAATAAAAGCTGCCAAACATAACAAGGGGCTGTTTGGTTCCCTTTGTGTGCAACTTGCATCGTTTTTTGTTGTAATGCTGCGCTCATTTTTTTATTTATTTTTTTTTTTTTACATTGATATTCGTAAGTGTCAATCAGTGCTTCTCCCTCAAAAAAATAAAATAAAAATAAATACACCTCGCTTTAAGAGGTGCAGTACCACTAGCAATTACAAACGGGCTTTAAAATGGTGGTATTCTGCCTTAAAATAAACGTCATCAAACCTCAAAAAATTGCACCACCTTTTTTAGCTGAGCGTTTTAAAGCTGGAAAAAAAAAATCCCACTTGCTGAATTTGGCAGAAGAATAACATCCTCCTCCATTGCAGCAGGCTTATCTGTGTTGATTATGTAATAATAATAATAGTAGTGGTAATAATTTGCACTGTTAAAAACTACATGCAGTAGCACCAATGATTTCATTGTGCTTTTATTTGTGTTCTTTTTTCCTGTTCCATAGTATCGAGGCTGGCTCTACATTCCGCATTTCTCAGACCTTTGTCCCCCTCCATTGTGTAGCTAACGATCATCTGCTGCTGTCTGCCGTAGCCTCTGCCTGTTCTCTGCATCTAGCTGTATTGTGAACCCCTTCTTCCTCATTTCCTCTTTCCATCTGAAGACGACATTGGCATTAAAACCGAGTTCCCACTCATACCGTATCCTTCTGTGTAACAGACTAAAGAATAACACCTTCTGTAGCAAAAACACTCTGTCTTTATTTAAACTGTCATGTTGCTCTTCAGTGAATAACCCATTGTAGCGTTAGACTTTACTACAGACTGTCATTGTGATTCTCCCATTCAGTGTGGATAGACTACATTCTGCTGTAAATTTCTGTAAAGTGGATACATTTTGATCTCCCCCCTTCTCTTTGATTCGATTACAGCCAGGCTTAATCGAACTCCTCTAATATTTGCCTCCATCCCCTATTTGCAAAGGTGCATTGTACCAGCATGAGCACTTTGTATGATCACCTTCTCTAAACAATCTTAATCAATAATTAAACAATTGGCTAACACTCGCAGAGCTAAACTCACAGTAACCTGTGTGATGCTATGTTTTCCTTTTGATGGTCCACTGCACCTGTTAAAGTGGAGTCCAAACAGCTGCTCATAATCCTATCCATATGTGAAAGCATTTGTTCCCGCTAGCTTAATTGATACTGCACATGGGCAAGACTCTGGTCTGTCTCATCTTGCCATTTAAAAAGTCTAAAATCCCCCTTTCTCAATCCACGACCATGAACAGCCCCCCCCTCAAGTCTTTCCTCAGACACCTCCAGAATGCTATCCATTTTACAGGGATGTGTATATCCTGCACTGCTGTAGAACTCCTTTTAGAATGAAAATGTCTTTTTTATTCTTTGGTTGTGGTTTTTCTACCTTATGTTCTTGTATTAGATCCTAATGCATGGTCATTTTATACTTTTGTTTTTCCACATTGAACAGCAGATTCCAATGTAAACTTTGTGTAGAGTTGTCCCTGCTATACTGAACTGTGCTGTAAGCATACACATCTACTCATTGGATGCTGCTTCTGTTCTGTTAACCCTACAGAGAGCATGGTCGGGCCTTGCCTTTGGTCTTTATTTGCATGATATTATTCTTATTATTATGGTTATATAGGTGATATTACTCTTATTATTACTATTATCACACAGTGCCACACATACTAATATTTTCCAATAAAGACTGTAGTTTTCTTTCTAACCTTCAGTGTGCTTTTTGCTGATTTCCATGTGTTCCTCCTCCTCCTCCTCCTCCTTCCTCCACACTGTGCTGTCACTGAGACGGTCCCCTCACTCTTTTTATGTGCTCTCATTTCTCAGCGGCCTTTTG